TTTTTTTTTAGCTATACGGTATATTACCTGCATATAGAATTCTTCAACTTTCTCAGAAGCTTCTTGGTGTTTAAGACTATGAACAGAGTCTGTAAAGGCAATGGCATAAACTCGCTGCAACACTTCCTCTTCTTTTTCTTTGGTCTATTATAAAAAAAAGTATTTTAAACTTTAAAACTATTCCTATTAGTAAATCTCATTTATTCTGAAATTCCCTTTCATACAAACATTACAGATATTTAATTAAGAAAAACTATACATCAATATTAACCTGCTGACTTCTTGTATACATCATTGTTTAAAGTAAGATTTCGAGACAAGCTCATTTACACTCATTCAAAATGTTTGTAAAAAACATAAATGATGCTACCATTTCATGAAATTACAAAGCTGGAAACTGTCAAAAGCAGAAAGGATAGAAATACTAAAAAAAATGTACAAAATTTTAAAATTAAGAGATAATTTTAAATGACCCGATATGGAATGAGCCATGCATTTAACAATAAAAAAAGTATACGTAGGTAAAAATTATCCAACAACTTACCAGGCATACAGTTACAATCCCACCATAACTATGAGCAATGATGGCAATATGTTTTGCAGCAGCTTTGCTTACAAAATGGTCCCACACATATAACGCATGCATTTCTGGAGAATCATTACCCTAAATAAAATTGTAATATTGCTTTGTTTACATCAGCAGTTTTCATTTAATGTCACCTGTTTTATTTTACTGACACCATTTCAAAAATATAAAAATAAACATATCCACATGAAAGTTCTATTCTTTGTGAATAACTGAACTTCATTTTGAATAAATACAGTATAGATGTGTCTTTACCGATTTAATGAACTATATTTTTTGTAAATATTAAAAAAGAAAATCACCCTTATCATAGTTTCAATTCCATCTTTCCACACTGCAGTATTCTCGTTGGTGTTGAGCACAATAATGCCATGTCCATCTTGCATTGCCTTCTTAATAAACGGAAGCTGAGTCCCACTGTTCAAGCAGTCATTGATGATCAACCTAAAATAGAGAACGGCTTAAAATATTCCAACTGGATTTCTTTCAGAGGCCAAATAAGGTGGCAGCACCAAGACTAAGTGATATAGTCCAGATACAGACCTTCAAACTGAACCTTGTTTACAAAATCATAATAAAATTTAAATTGGAGCAATTCACATGTTTAATGTTAAGTAAACAAACATTTAGAAATAACCACACATTCATATAAATCAGACTCATTACCCTTTTCTTACCTTCTTGCCCATTGTCCAGCTCTTACTACCCCACTTCCATGAATAAGAATGAGCAGTTTATCAGGATTGGTTAATGCATCCTTACTCATGAAAAAGAAACTTCTTGGCTCATCCTCCTCTTTAGCATCAACCTAAAAGAGATGGACTAATTGTTTCCTGGTTCCAATGAACATGGACAAAATTATGAACGTTATTATGTCCAAGCACAGAATGAGGTAACAATGCCATGTCAACCACAAGAAAAGTGTGCTAAAATGCCACACTGTATCCACTGTGGCAAAAATTTCACTCTAGCTGCAAAAATTTCAGTCTAGCCTGATAATGTAGACTGCACACTACTTTCTTTAAAAAGTCGTTGCTTATTTGATCAGAATTCCACTCACTCAGAAAGACTTCTCCACGTTCCATTAACTTGCCTTTTAAGGACAAAAGTTCATCACAATGAAAAATGTGAACTTACTGGTACATACACCTTTTCCAGCCCAGCTTTTTCTAAGAGGTTATAAACATATTCTGTGATAACCTGAAATGAGGCAGCAAAGCTATAAAAGGGACATATATAAATGATAACAATGATGGAAGCAGTGCCTAAGGCCACACTTGGATAGTTTGATGTGGCCGTTTATTTTAAAACCTACCATATGTTGAGGAGCCAACTGGAGCATGTTAAGGACCCCCTTCCAAAGGAACAGAAATCCAATGTTGTCTATGGTATATGCTGTAAAGATGACAAGTGCACTGAATTGTGTGGGTGAAACTAAACAGTTCCTCAAGAGCAAGATGAGCCAACACAGATGTCCCCAGCTGTGGAGACACATATGGTTCAGCAATACTACAATTAATCTTACTAGTAAGCTATCTGGTCACTCCTGTGACTTGTAGGATGTGATAGTGTTGGACAAAGAAGAGGACTGTTTCCGGAGAGGTGTCAAGGAAGCCATCCATGAAGGGATAAAGATACGGATCATACCAATACTGAACTGGAGCTGGGGATCTGTGTTTCCAGCTACACCATATGTGAACCAGGCCCTGGCACCAATTCCATGCCGCCTGTCATGTGATTACCACTAGTAATACCACTAGTAATTTCACCTGTAGTGAAAGTTCCCTAAAAATGTCTAATTCTCTGCAAAACATCTAGCAGATCTACATGAGTGTCCAGTATTAGACTTAATATTTTTGCCTTTGAATATCAATTAACACTACTTACACAGATCAAGTTACGTCAAAATCCAATAACTATTTCACATTATTACATTTGATATTCAAAGCAGATAAACTGAGGATATGCCCCCTTTGTGCAGAAACACATGGGGTAATGGATATAACAACAAAAAAGAAAGTTAAATTTACTTTAAAATTGTTTATTAATTTGGCACTAATATTAAGATTAGTATCTAAAATTAGAAAAAGTCATTAGCAAAATGTAGGCATTTATTAAGTATGAAACCACCTTAATCATTTAAAAATTGGTTAAAAATATTTATGGTTTTAAGAAATGCCACCAATGTGTGATTGAAAAACAGCCCTGAATATGATCTATTTCACTAAGCCATGCTCAAGAGACCATAATTTTTTTTTGCAATATTATCCATTTTTTTTATAAACTAATTTATTTATGATCAAAACATACACACCTCTCCCAGTGCTTCATACCTCCTCTGGTTGAAAAAATGATCATCCCTTACTTTAAATATAAATGATTCCTTAGTTTCTATGTGCTCTAGATAACCCTCTGAAATTTGATAGAAGGACCGATATAAAAAACAAAACAAAATTTTAAAACTTCAGACTAAAGAGTATCCTACTTACTTTCAAGTGCTACTTTTTAAAGATATTTTAAAAAATATCTATTGTAACTATGTTCTTTTCTAAAAGAGCAATTAAGATCAAGTAAACTGACATCACTAAGCCAACACAACACTTGTACTATTTTAAGGTGCAATAAGCTGTCCGGTTCTCCAGTCCATTAATCCACATGTAAATACTACGCCAGACAATTGCCACATAAATATATAATCATTTTGGTGGTAACTAATTCTCTTAGAGCAATGCTCTGGTTGGGCAAATAAAAATATGAAGATTGACACTTTAGTAGTACATATCTTGCAATGTATTTGACAGGCCGCAAACTGCCAGCAAATGACTTGACATGGGCACTTGCTGGCATCGCATCATCAATCAAGTTTATGCATCAAAATAAGGTCCTCATGAAAGTCTTGGCAAAGTACAATGATGATTTTTAGTTTTAAATTACTGCTACCTTATATGTCTTTTTTATTATAAAAATTGATTACTTAGATATGAAACATTAATGGTTCCTTATGTTAGCATTCACACAAAAATTAGAACATTCAGAAGACTCTGAAAGTCCTCATGACTTACCATCATTAAAAGTGTACTCAAAATCTTCAAGTTTCTTTGGAAATTTATACTCCTCTTCCTCTGTACTAGTGTCTGAAATGTGATGTGAAAATAACATGAACTATGAAACATATTTAGTCAACATAACTATCAACTTTCTAATAAAATTTTTGAAACAATGGTACATAAGTAAAAACTAGACAGCAAAGCTGGCAAACATACAGACATTAGGCGGAAAAAAAGTGCACAAAATAATGTTTTGGCCAATTTTGATGCACTACTACATAATGCTTTAAAACAGCAAAATCACCCTTACCCTTTTACACTCTTACTACAGGTAACATGGGCATTGAAAAACTAGCAAATGATTCAGTTTTATGGGCTATAAAAGCCATTGAAAATCCTAATGTGTGGGATAAAAACAGAATAATGCAAGCGCGAATGTAAATTGATCATGCTGATTTTTGAAAGCAACCTGCCTCTTTACCAAACAAAGTCACTCAGTAAATTTAAAGTAAAACAAAAAAGACAGTTTGGAAGTTATGGGGCAAAGGTCATGTGTCGGACAGCAAGAGCAACGACACGGACAGACAGAACAGTCAGAATATATACAGACATTGTAACTCTAAGTGTCTGTATATAAAAACTGAGAAGAATCAAAGTACTGAGTAACTACGTGCCTTTTGATATACAGCACATCCATACATTCATTCTTCTTAACATTCCGGTTTATTTCAATGGTAGAGTGGCATGTCTCTTAGGATAACCTGACTATGTTGATCACAATTGTAAGGTGTGAGAGATAACAAACTGGGACATTGACCCAAATCCTCTAATGAAAAACATATGAATGTAGGTTAATCGTGATTGTAAATATTATAACACCAAACTATTTCCACTCTCATTTCTACATACATACCAGTAGTACTAGTATCACAAGTATTGACTTCATCTACCTATGTAGCACAAAGTTTAATGTATTAGCACCCTGATTAATTATCAAGGAGGAGGTTTACCTGTAAGATCTGCAGTTTCGCTTTCTTTTCCTTCTTCGGTGTGTTTTTCCTGTTCAGCCATTACTTTGACTGATTTGACTGAATGACCTCCTTGTGTCAAAGCACCAGACAATATCAGAACAAGCAGAACTACTGACTTGAACTGAATATGCAAATTTCTGCAGGCAAACTATAAGATAAAGCTTTATAAGGTTAATTTGACACTGTGAGATTGGACAATAAGTTTCAAATTGTGAAAGGGGCTTTTTATGGCAATCAAATCCTTGTCAATACGTCCCTATATGTCCACGCACCATTACTCCCCTGCACCGTTACATTCCTCTGGCATCAATACATCCCTACGCAGATACTCCCCCGCATCTTAAGGTCTCTGCACCAATACTCCCTGCACACATTTTCACTTACCCACAACATAGACTCCCTTGGCTTTGTTTAAAATGCAACATCCAAAACACATTTCTTGATTTAAAAATTCTTTCTGATATATATTTTTTCAAAAGTGCACAATTTTGGGACCCAAAAGACACACATTTTATTCTGAATCTTATGGAAAAATATGGCAACAATTACTAAAATTGGTCCGCATTGCAACTTGATCTTTTATGACCGACTTAGTGTGCAGCTCAACTGTACAGCTCTTCTTTATTATTTTTAAAAAGAAATGTCACTTCGTTCTTCAACAGGTGTTAGGGTATACAGATTACACACCCTTTTCATTTATTGATTGATTTTACTTGTAGGCTCTTCTTCGAGCACTGCTCAAATTGTTGAATCATTGAGTTATAAAAAAGGTAGCATTTAAGTGATAAATTGTCTCCTTTGTTGCAGACTTTGTGGAAATGTGAGATTTAAAAATTTCCTTAGGCAATTCCAGGAACCACTAAAAAAGTTCAATGCGCTTTAAAATATTGATTTTCTTATCAAATTTATATGACCTATATTTTAATAAAAATGCCAGTAATATACTGATACAATTAAGGAAGCAATGATGCAGGGGAGATCGATGTGGGGGAGGTAGTTTTACAGGGAATGTATGGATGTTGGAATCTATTGGTGTGAAGTCGTATTGATGCAAAATAAAGCAAAAATTTACTAAAGGAGAGTATCGATGCAGGGAAATGACCACAATAAATAAAGATCAAATTGTCAATAACTATAAAGACTGACACCCTTTAACATTTGCATCTTTTCATACATTCCCGCCTACTGGTAGCTCATTTCAGAATACATTAATACAGCTGGGATGTTGTAGTAATATAACCTACATATACATGTGCCCAATTGACTTGTAAATCTCTAAACTGTTTGCCACTTACATTAGTACTACTGTACGTAGTTTCAACATTTATCACAATCAATCGGACCAGCACACACCAGCCAGAATAACACAGGTAGAGTAAGGTACAGTAATTCACTGAAATATGCTTTTACCTGCTCACAACAGCTTCTATATAGTTCCTGTACTTGTGAAGGTGAAACTGGCATCAACAAAATCACGTGGGGAATCCCCGTCCGCGTTTACTCATGGTGCATCCATGTCAAATACCCGTATGTATCGCAGGAGGCGGTAATGCATGCAAACAGTGTTAGAAAATTAAGGCTGGACCGTCTGCCCGGGGCCGACAACTTTCAGAACGGGCTGAGAAGTTTTCCCACCCAGGAGACATTTAGTCCAGCTACTTTTCAAGATGGCTGGACTTTCGGTCCAGCAACTTATTTTCCTAAGAGGCAAGCATGATGCAAACATTGGTGCACTGGGTGGATTAAGAAGAAGTTTCTTTCACGTGTTTACATTGACTGCTGTGACCTATGCCGTAAAGGTTTAAAATCCTCGTGTAGATCACACGATTTATTAAAAAAAGATATATGTTGTTGATACTCTGGGTCATACATGTCATTCAGGGGCCAAATCAGGTCAAGTCACACATTCAGGTGTTATATAGTTACCAGACCACTGAGGGTTTAGTTTCACACATGGACAAAATCACGTTATTATGTCCAAGTTTCACATAGTGGTGATTTCACGTTCAAATTTCATTTCAGAAACTTCCACATTTAAATCAAATAAAATCAACATTTGGTAAAGATTGTTCAGATGTCTCCTTTATAATGATACATATTACATGAACCTGTTTATGTATTTTATTCATTGGAAAGAACTGTAACCGACTTTTAAAAAGGATGTTTTCAGTTTTAAAAGGATTGAATAGCTTCTGGATTGTCCGTGCTGTCTCAGCCAGAGAAATAAACATAGATATCAGCCAGTTTGAAATTGATCTCTGGAAAACATGATATCATAGCTGTTGTTTTACCTGCTGGAGAGGGGTCCGCCATATAGATAAACGTCCCAATAAAACATTCGTCCCGATAGATACGTCTCTATAGGGCCTACATAGTCTACACGTTTACGTCTCGTTAAATTTACGTTCCGATAGATCCACCAACAGATTCCTATAAACCCACGTATCTTTAGATCCAGGTACCGCTAGATCCATCTATCTGACATCCTAATCGGCTAAAAGGCCGATATCAACTTGTGATACAGGTATGAGGCTTTCGAGTGATAGTCGGGCTGCGAATACTGATCCACTTAGTGATCTGACTTAATTACAACCTGACATTTATCATTCATTCATTTTTTTATGTATTTATATATTTATTAGGTGTTCAAACAAGACATACATGTACTGAGTACGTTCGCGTCTACACGTCTATCACACTCTAAAGTTCGGGAACGCGTCGTAAACATGAAACAGAACACATTTTAAGTGTGCAAATGTTACATTTTGAGAACGCTTTAAACAGTGTTCTGGCGCCAGAACACTGAGCGATGTGAAATATAGAACACATTTTTTTTTTTTTGTTTTGTTTTGTTTTGTTTAGAACACATTTACATGTAAATTCAGAACACTTTACGTGTTCGAATGTTACATTTTGAGAACGCTTTAAACATTGTTCTGACGCTAGAACAGTAAGCGTTGTGAAATATAGAACACATTTTTGTTCTTTTTATGTTCTTTCACTGAGTATTGTGTGAAAACGATCTAGTAGAATAATTTATTGCTGAAAGGATTAATATGTGTACTGTCGTTTTAAAGAAGTGCATTTTATGTACCGAGTAGTATACCAACCATTTTGAGCAAAAGCATACCTTTAATGGATCTATCGGTATTTGGATCTCAAAATACGTGGATCTATAGGTATGTGGATTTAAAGGACGTCGGTTTATGAGGACGTCGTATCTATAGGAACGCAAATATATAGGACAGCAGTAAAAAATCGGATCTATCGGTATTTAAATCTAAAAAGACGTTTTTTCAGTTTTTCCTTTATGTATCTATCGGTAACGGGATTATAGGGACGTGTAATATTTTGGGACTAAATTGTATCCGTACGTACCCGCTGGAGAAGTAACTCAGACCATAGAAGTAGAGATGCTCAGACCAAGTGTCCCCTGTGATAATTCTACAAACGTGTTGTTGGACAAAATTTATTGATACACAAAAAAAATACAAATATTAGGCTAACCATAATCACTTCATGAAGGATTACAGTTTGCCTGAGAAAGAATTCAAGAAAATTAATAATAAAATTTATTTTCAATTAAATTCAATGATACTTTACAGCATAATTGAAAACCAATGATACATGGTGAAGACCCTACCGATACCTGAAGCAAAAAAAAAAAAAAAAAAAGAAGGTACAAACTGAATGATATCAACCTGATGAAAGTTATGCTTTTGTACAACCTTCTTTTGTCTCCTTGAAACAAAAGGCAATAAAATATTTTAGAGGTGAGAGTATTTTTTTTATTTTTATTTTGCACCAAAATAAAGGGAATCTTGGGATTGATAACCATGAATTACATATACAATATTTACATCATTCAAATTTCATCAAATGTAAGAAAAAACATTTAAAATCATGCATGGAGACATATAATGTCAAAAGCTGGCATAATATATGCACTATATCTGAAAAGAAAACTACTGTCTAAATCTTTGCAGACAAAGTGCATGGAATTTTTTAATTCTATATATATCCTACAACTCATTTAATGAATAATATGTTTTCTTTTATTTGCATCTACCCCTTTTTAAAATATGACTTTATCAATTGACTACAGTAATGACTCAATCTTTTCAATGGGGAAAATTATCAAACTTTCAGATTCATCATTTTAAAATCATAAAAATTGTATTTTTTTGTAGCATTTGTGGTGCTTTTTATGCATAGAATAGAACTATAAGGCAGTCTGCTTTTCAATTTTGTTGAAACCACTCAATAGGAATACTCTTATTTTAAGAAATTATGACTTATAAAATACAGTATCTGTAAAATTCACAATTTTCCTCCATTGAAAAGAACGGGTTATTGCTGTATTTAATAAGCTATCCATTTTTTCAGTCATGTTGACAAATTGATAAATAATCTAAATTTTGTATATATACAGTCATAATAATACAAAATCTAAATAAAATAAATATCCACATTTTGTAAAACAATACTGCAGTATTTTTCTATATTGACATAAATTACTTACAGTTGACCTTATTTGACAGGCCATTCAAATAAATCTTCCAACATAATTTTTCTCTATAGTTATTAAGTTTCCCACTATCAAAATGACTGTGGCCCTAATATGTTCATTTCTTCTCTCCTGCTTATCTTTTTCCTTATCTTTTTTGTTGCAGATTCTTTTACAAATATATTACTATCTTTATGTTGACTGAACAACATGGGCTTGGATTCTTCCTTGTTAATGCTGTGTTTCCAATTTCTAAGGACACTTCCTAGACCTTGAAACCAACTGGTTTGTTCACTCTTTGTGGCATTTTCTGAAGTCTGCCCAGCAGTTGGTTGTTTGGAGAAAACATTCTGTGTGAAGTTTTCTTGACTTGAAAATTCAATTTTAGACTGAATGTCCCTAATGCCCATAGCTTTCTGGAACAATCCAGGGCGCTCCAAAGGATTCGCTCTCTCAAAGTCAGATACCCCCTCTCCTTCATGGGGACTTCCATCATGAATCAATATGTCATCCCTGGTTTTCAATGTAGGTCTTTCCCCAAGAAGCATGTTGGTCAAAACTCCTGGTGCTGTTTTTGTCCGTTTCAAATCAGACATGCTAAAATGAACAAATGCATTTTTAATTTAGTGTCGCACATTCTTATGTAGACAGTTGTAAATATGAATTGTATTTTTATTCAAAAATATATAGAATTAAATGAATAATACTGTACTGTATTAAATTAATAATAATGCCCCCCCCCCATATCATATGTCTTATTATTTTACTTTAAAGTAATTTATTTAAAAATTAAAGGGATAACAACTGTTCATATCAGATTCATATTTCACAATGAAAACCTTGTTAACAACTCATATAAATACAATGAATTTCATTTTACCACCAAAACAGCAGTTATCGCAATAATTCTGGAACCTGTGCTTGCTGTATCAGACCATGCATGGGCAGATCCAGAGATATTTTCTGAGTCTTCCAAATTTATATTTGTTGATTCATCCTCTATTTTTTGACCATCATCCGACAGAAAAAATAGATACCCTTCAATGTAAACTTGAAAATATGACCATCTTCCGGAAGACCCAGAAGACGGCCTAAATCTGCCCCTGCCACGTGGAGCTTCAAAGGTGACCACACCTCTGTAAAAATCTCTTAAGAGATAATTCCAAATACTTAACTTTTTGAAAAACCATGGACTAACTTTGAATGTTGGAATGAATTTAATAACCATTTGTAAGTATGGGAAAATCAGTGTTTACCCCATGAAAACCTATTGTTATTTTTTGGAACAAAAAAAAAAAAAAACAACAGTTGTTATCCCTCTCAACAGTATCCACCAAACAAGACATAACAGATTAGTCTTTACACTTACATTTCTTTGTGTTATTATTATCTACTTGGCCAATATTAAATAGATTGCCTTGATGAAGGATGACAACACATTGTCAGTTTGTATCTGAAATTGAGAAACAAAATAATGAAGCCTAGAGGCATTCTTTGAAGATTACCAAAGCCAACAGTAATTTCCAAACAATTTATTAAATACTAATATTGTAGAGGTGATAATATCAAAGCACTGTCAGTGTGTGCACTATATCTTTCTTTCATTAGCACATTTATATTGCAGGAGACGTAAAATAAGAAAATCAATACTAGTACATTAACATACCCAGGACTACCCAACTACCAGACTCGGCACCGAATGATCCAGAATTCACCGGTAGATCAGACCACACTACCCGTTTTCAAGGTGTGTGTCAGATCGCATTACACAGTATCAGACACGGCACCGCTCTTGACTAGTACGTGATGTGATAGTGACGATTCTCAGCGGGGTTGAAAAGCATTGCATCACCACTCAAAATTTGTTCAGGGTATGATACTGTGTAATGCGATCTGTGTGTGTGTGTGTGTGTACTCTGAACAAACCTTTTCCCAGCCAAATGGGTAGTTAATTCACAGACCCCCTCTGTCCAAACTCCACTTGCCTATGAATATGAATATGGTGAATATTTTAAGAAATAAGTTTAAAAATACTTGTTCGATTTTGGTCGGGTTTTGCACAAGAAGAGTCTTATCCCTAAGTCATTTAATGTGGTTTAAGCTTCATTGGCCGATCTAGGTGATAGCCGAGCATATATATATATATATATATATATATATATATGCTTGGTGCAAATATTTCGCAAGTCATCTGCGATGTTAGGTTTTTCCTCGACCACCCTATACACTCCAAGTAATATAGAGCTTAAGATGAAACTTACCTTAAGCTATTTGATTATCCGTTATTCTATCCTTATATTGTGTCCACACTTGTGTTGAGACATCAACCTGAATACAGCTTGTTTTTCCGACACAACGGCATATGTCCTTGAAAGAAGGTCATGTGGGGGCTTGGCACCTGAGCTCTTCTGCAATTGGCCAAAACTTAATTTCGCGTACAGAAACTTGTACCGTCTTAAATGAAGTGCTAGCCAACTTCATGTACTCATCCTATCTTGAAACAACTTATTTTGTCATAAACACAGTCCTTTGACTATCTTTTATGTTCACAGCAGTTGTGTATCAGTATAATTTTCAGCAAAACGTCAAAGCACCTGCACAATAAGGAAATCGCGTGGAGTCTCGCACAGATATTCCGTAGATTAATATTATTCTATTATCAACTGTTGAATAAACTAGGAATCAATTATAGCATATATTATTAACCATCTCTAATTACTGCTAGTATTAGATACCCTATCAATATTTTTAAAAAATATGTACGGGTCAACGACCTTGACACTAATATTGTTGAAAAATGGCGGACAAATGGTTTTCTGGAAGTGGAAAAAAGGTTGCTTTTGGTATTGCAGCTGGTGGCGCTGTGGCTGCAACTGCATTTGCACTGTACAAATTGTATAGAAATCACGTGGGGGAAGCATTGTGTGATGAAGGTTTTGTTGACAACCCAAAGGTACTATATGCAGCTTATACAAATCGTGTCTAAGCATTTTAATGTTTGACAGACGAATTTTCAATGTAAACAACGCATATAATGTCATGTCCGTGCATCGAAAGCAGACATTTCACACTGTATATTAGAAAATTTACATGGCAGGCTGTATAGTTATGTCCTTTGCAGCCTTAATTTTGTTCTGGATATCTGCTTAATATTCAAATTTATTAATTTATATTGTCAGTTTTTCCCCAGCTACAGTACTGTACATGTACATGTTGTTTACCTCAATTGTACGCCTTACACTAGCATGAAAAACCAAGTGTGAGCATTTTTATTTGTCTTACCCATCTACTACATGTGCTAACACAGGAAGAATATTACATATCTATCAGATGATATATATATATATATATATATATATATATATATATATATATATATACCGGTATATATATATACTTAGTATATATGTAACTGTAAAATGAAGTTCAGCTAGAGTGTGATATATATGTATGAGGGCTCTTAATTCTTTTACTTACCTCTCTCTTCAACATGTAGTCATTCACTGAAGAAAAGCCAACTGTTGGCTTCTTATATATATAGCTATTGGCAACTTGAGAGGTAAGTAAAAGATAAATATATGAGCCCAATTTGCAAGTTCAACACCATTGACCCTTGTAGAACTCTACCTCTCTGATTGGTCAGTAATAATTCCCTTTGAAAGATATCTGCACATCAGGGCTTTCTCCAGGATTGGGCTGACCAAAATTACCATCTCTTGTCTTATTTCCTACAAAATTTCAAGGAGTCCAAAAATTTTCAAAGTGCTAGATGAGCATTGGGTGGTGGTGGTGGTGGAGGTGGGGGAGGGGGGGGGAGGTTAATATAAAAAATTAAATGTTCAAAAAATAAGGAAAAAAGGGAAAAAATAAGATTCAGAGGGATGGGGGGGGGTTAAAATTAAAAATATTTTTAAAATAATATAAAAATAAATTTCAATTGCAGACTTTTCTTATGAAGTTTCTATTTTGGTTGCAGTCTGAACTGTAAGGGCACATGGATTTTTATGCCAAATTACCATTCATTAGTTAGGTGTTACTGTCTCTGCCTGATATGTGAGCAAATTTTGGGGTGTGACTGAAATGCGCAATACACTGCAATACAGCGCAACATAGCGCAATACACTTGATAACACAAGTCCAGTTGCAAGTAAACACGGGAAAGGGTAATCTCAAATAAAATAGGGTGATATAAAAGCAAAATATAGTACATAGTAATTAATATTGCTGATACAACTTGACAATTTTTTCATTGTTTGGTCAGCCGCCATGTTGGCGAGTAGCTCTTCTTGGCCAGTAATATATCCAAGAAGAGCCACTCGCCAACATGGCTGCCAACTGGACAATATAAAAGTCTTGCTGATTTGTTAAGTTATATCAACGATATTACTTACCTAGTAATATAGGTTGTTTTTATATCACCCTACTTTGCTGGGAATGGTCATTTCTTTTGTGTAATTGCAATTGGATTTGATTTTTGAAGTGTATTGCGCTGTGTTGCGCTGTATTGCAGTGTATTGCGCATTTCAGTCACACCGCAAATTTTGCTCTTCACTAGTTTGTAAATGAACGCAACCAAACTTTCAGATCTTCCATAGACTATCTTCTGCTAGTGGAGTCCCTCGAGCAGATATGAAAATTTCCTTCTCATCTTGCTAGGATTGATAACAATCTCCCGCTTACAATCTTCTGTGAACAAAGTCCCTTGAAGAATATGAATTGGCTTTTGTTAGACTTGAGATTTTCTCCTGTAGCCTGGAGTGATGGTTAACCTAAGCGGAGTATATGGTAGAGGCACTCCTTAAACTGAGATAATTTAATTGTAAGTTTTTGCCTTAAAAACTTCTCATTCAGAATCCATCCTAAGAGAATTTAAAATATTTTGTTATGTCTACTGTCAGTTTCTAAGGAAATTGTTAGTTCTGTAATTTATTGCTACAGCAATATAATATGTGCTTTTATTATCATCTTAGCTTGAAGAAATCCCAGAAAAACGAATATTAGTGTTGGGCCTTGATGGAGCTGGAAAGAGCAGCTTTTTAGCCTGTTTGAGCAACCAGGATAACAAATCTTCTCCTTTACCAACTGATGGTTTCAATGTGATATGCTTACAGACAGAAAAAGTAGCTCTTGATATATGGGAAAGTAAGTTGGGTAATGATTGTAATACACTATTAGTACATGCAGTCTTGTGCCTTATTCTTTCTCTGCCACTCAGAACACCACTTTCCTAAAATCTACTGGTCTGAATCAGAATTCACTGGCCTGAATAAAATTTTTGATAAAATTGGACATTTTCCCTTTTGCATTAATAATAGTAGTAACAAGACCTTGATATTGTCAAACAATTTTTTCTTTCTTTTTATTTTATTTTTTTCTAATCATTATGTAACAGTTACATTTCAGTAAAATCAAAATCAAATCAAAAGCTGTTTTGAAAACTTAATAATAATCCAACGGGCATGTCGAACTGCTAAATTCACATATTTAAAAAATCTACTTGTCCAAACAATTTTTAACTGGCTACAGGTGGGTACCATTGGCTTATGCCACAGACTGCTATATGCCTCAATTTTTATTTATTTATTTATTATTGTAATTATCAGAAGTATTGAGTTATATTTGGTTCAAAAACAGTTTATCTCAAAAATGCAAGTCATTTTATCATACATGCTATATTGAATTCATGAAAAACTATATTTCTTGACAAAATATGTGAGCATAAGTGTTATCAAAATAGCTCATGCTTGAAAAATGTATTAACATTATTTTTCTGATGCGTTGAAGATATTGTTAATGGATGGAGTTCATTTTGTTTAAGTTGGGGGAGGAGAGACTGTTAGAAAATATTGGCCAAATTTCCTGCAAGATACTGATCTCCTTGTTTATATGGTGGACTCATCCAATGAAGCAAGGTTTCCAGAGGCTTATACAGAACTCCACATTCTTTTAGGAGATGAGAGACTGAAAAAAGTACCAATTTTGATTCTCGCCAACAAACAGGTATAATGTTGGACTTTTTTTTTTTTTTTATACCTGTAATTCCTAGTTTTAATAATTGAAGTGCAACATTTATAAAAGCATGATTTACCTGGTGTATGTATATAAAGAAGATTGCCAATGTGTATAAAGAAGATTGTCTCTTTCAGTTTCTGGAATGAGAACAACTTATAAGGACATGATAGCATAACTAGAAAAATGCATAGCATTATTATATTATTAAAAAATGCATAGCATGTAATGTAAGAATGTAAGATTTTGCAGGCAGATGGCTACAGTTGGTACATGTGTAAATGTTAAATGCAGTTAATAAAAATACTTTCTTGAGATTTTTTTTTTCTTTTATTGTTCAGCAGTACCCTTTCGTGTTTCAGGATGTACCCAATGCTTTCTCTCCACAAAAAGTGATGGATGCATTAGGATTATCAAATATGTCTACAAAGGAACATAATAGCTATTTCCTGGGTCTACAAGTGCCACCCTTAGGGCAGAAAGTAGGCGTTAAAGATGCAGAAAAACTTATGGCCAGATTATGTGAACGCTAATTCTTTTATTTCATTAATGATGTACTGAACATGCACCCAAAATGCAGGAATGGTTGCCACAAGTCAAAACAGAACACCAAGAACACAAAATGAAATACACATACCTGTATCGACTTTTGTTTATTTTCTGTGACAGAAGTAAAAACTGTTTTTTGGACAGTGTGCTCACTGCTTTCAAAAATGGCATCCCACAGTAAGTGAAATTTAATCTGAATACTTGTAAATGTCCTTATTGTATAATTTATGTGCAAGTGTTATAAATGTAGATTTAATGTAGACAAAGGATTTAACTGTTCAATTATGTATTATATGTGAATAACTGATTGGCATATATCTAATAAGTGTTTGTTGTATGTTCTCTTATGTTTGTATAGAATAGCTTACCAAGTGTGTGAACTTGTACATATTTAAATCTTTATCATATTTGAGATTATTATTGAGCTGTGAAAAGCAATGAATACAGATACATGCAAGCAAGAAATGTTTCCAAATGCAAAGTGCAGCTGGTCAGGTACTACTGTAAGTGTATAGGAAGTCAGTGTGCTTGCTTAAGTCCTAATTACACTTTAATTTAAAGTTTAATCACACTAAAAGTTTTGTCACAGAAGTGATATATTAGTGCAACACTTCTTTGTCTTCTTATGAAACCAAACATAATAAGATCAAACACTGGTGAGATTACTCCTAGAAAATATCAGGGATACGATTAATTAAGGGTGCAACTTCATTGTCATATATATAATGAGGTTATATATCGCACTAATATGAAGGCAAATTAAAGAAAAAAACAGTGAGATTATTTTTAATTAAAAGTTGCTGTTTGTTAACTTGAGATCTATGCTAATCAGTTTTTATTTAGCATGTTCTTAGCTAAACAACTTAAGTGTATACATTGAGAGATATGGAAACGCTGTGTTCATTAATTATGTTTTCAAAATGCTATTGCAATGTAGATCATTTAAGATGCATCCACCACTTGAATTGTCTTTAGCAGATACATGGAGTCATATAAATTGTCATATCTATTTTTATTATAAATTTTTTCAGCAATTGGACAAAATGTCCTTCATTGTTGAAAAGAAAATTTTGTCATTTTATGTTTCTCAGTATGTTTAATACTTTATACACAGACACTGTGTGTGTGTGTCTGTATATATTCTGATCACATTGAGCACATTCCGAACAGCAGACTAACAGATCTGCAGATCAAATATGGTGACCCACAAAAAAGTTTGCCACTTAATTCCCGCTTAGACACTGAATAGATTCCTCACCGGGATTATGCAACAAGCTGATATACTTGTGATTTAATGCCTTAAAATGAATTTTTGGTTTTCTCAACTTTTCATTGAAATAGCAACTATGAAATCAATCAATTCAATTTCATTCAATCTAATTTCCAGAAGTCTATAAGGTTGTTATATTACATGTTGTGTCCTGAATAATATAGATGTGTGTTTAATGTTTTCAGGATGTATACATGTACTTATACAGTATAATCTAATACTTATATAATATAACTTATATAGTCAGTTTTTAAGGTCAAGTTAAGTTACCCAACTACCAGACTCGGGGACTGAATGATCCTGAATTTAACAGTGTATCGGACCACACTACCCGTTTTCAAGGTGTGTGTCAGTACACTCTTTGACTGGGCACTGCTCTTGCCTAGTATGCCATATGTGATAGTGATGATTCTCAGTGGGGTTGGAAAGTAGTGCATCTCGGCTCAAAATTTGTTCCAAGGAATGATACTTTGAAATGTGTACTGACACACACCTTGGAAATGGGTAGTGTGGTCCAATCTACCAGTGAATTTGGGATCATTAGGTGCCAAGTCTGGTAGTTGGGTAGGCCTGAGTTTGTATAGAGTCACACTAGGCAACTCAATTAAACAAGAAGCCACATCTTTAATTAACGAGTACATCCACCTCAAATGTATTTAGGAATGGTCCTCTGCCTTGTAACTATATCATTCACCTTGATCAATCAGTTTAAGTTATCGGCCTATTGTCCACTAGTAGAAGTCATTCAGTACTCAGTCTGGAAGTCTTCTCTATCATATGTGTAATTGAATTAAAGTGACCACTTCGGCAACCCGCCTGGCTGGGAAGCCAATGTAATGTAATTGTATATGTGAAGGTGTATAAAGAGAGGACACTGCACGCTGATCTCTATAAAGCAAAACATGAAGTTATGTTAGCATTCAAGTGGGTCAGCCATATTTGATCCATAGATCTGTTGTTCTGCTGTTCTGAATGTGCTCATTGTCTGTCCATGTTATCAACATTGCCAGTGCTATCAGCATCTGCAACATATGTCCCTACTACTGCTAAACCATATTGATTTACTTAAAATTTGATGTTGTTTAGTTGAAAAAACAGGTTCCTTGCTATTATTGGCACAATCAAATTATTTTTGAAAAAGGCAGCAAAGCTGTCAAATGTACAAATAAAAAAAGCAAAAAATGTTACACAAAATATGTTATTTTGTCAATTGGAAGGAATATTACATTATGCTTAAAAGCAAAAACAACACCAAAATGTTAATATGCACAACAGGTAACACAGATGTTAAGTAAATATAACTAGCATAAGGTTTCATGCTCATGAAAGTTCAATTTCACACATTGAAAATGCCAGAATGAGAAAAATGAAAAAATCCCAAAATTTGCATAAATTCAAGAAATGTAATCCCATCAAGCTGGTTTGCCAATTTGAGTTATAAGTAAATCTTAAGAATCGTTTGTCAGTTAGAAAATAATGAGTAAAATGGTTTTTCAATCACAGCATTTGTGGTGGTAGAGATTTTAGTCAATATTGATGCGATATTACATAATGATAAAATGCAAAATCACCATCAATTTTTAATTATCCCTGTAAAATGGATATTCAGAAAATGTTACTAATCATACAGCTTCATGGCCTTGGGAGTTCTAAGTCCCACATTGAAAACGCTACTATGTGAAAAATGAATGTTTCACTTTAACTTCATTTCTTTCAGAAAGATAAACCAATCGGGCTGATTTTCCAATTCAAGCTGTATTTCAGTCCAATGAATTTTTTCTGTAAGTTTTAGGATGACTAGTAACATGGTTTTACTTTAATTGTCAATATGGCAGCAGTGCCCAAATAAGGGATTTTGTCAATTTTTATGCAATATTACATAATGCTTAACAGGATAATCACCACCAATTTTTAGTGATATATTACAAGTATCATCATTCATGGATATTCCCGCAAAATGTCACTAGAAAAGCTCTTCAGGCCCATGCAAGTTTAATTGAAAATGCCAATATGTGAAGAAATAATCTTTCGCTAAAATTAAATAAAAAAAAAAACTGCATTACTCTAGAAAAGAAAACCAATGAGGCAGGTTTTCGAACTCAATCTTTTTTTGTGTGTGTGTGTGTGTCCCTACGAATCTTTTCTGTAAGTTTGAGAATCATAGGTAACATGGTTTTCCTTATGTAATTATGGCAGCAGTGCCCATAGTAGGGTTTTCTTCAACTCTAATGCAATATTACATAATGCTTAACAGCATAATCACCACCATCACAGATATTCAGAAAATGTGACTAACAAAGGTTTTCATGCTTATGGAAGTTCAGTAGCACCTTGAAAATGCCAATATGTGAAAAATAAACATTTCACAAAAAAAAGTTGGTTTTTCAACTAGAGTTGTATGTTAGTAAAAGTAATCACTCCTGTTAATTTGAAGACAATGGGTCAATCCAATTGCCGCTTAATGTGTTATCTGTGTAGCTTGTTTCCTGAAAAAGGCATAGAAAATCATACGTAACTCGCATTGAATATAATGTGTATCAGTTTTGTAAGTCTGAAGACAAAAGTTTTCCACTTATTGTGTTATCTCTGAAAGTGCACAGCAATGACAGACCCAGGTGACAGCTTTATGTACAGACACGTCTGTACATGAAAAAAAATTTTTTGGGTAAATATTGCAATGCTTTTGAGTTTAGTGTCTGTATTAGGCTATTCACACTAGCACTTTCAACCGCGGTCAAGGCCCGACCTCGGTCGTATCGCGGTTAACTTTTCTAATGTGAACGGACGATGTACCCCTGACCGCGGTCGAAATAAACCCAGATAGGGAGCTGGGTTAAATTGGAGTTAACTCCAAATCACGGTCAAGACCGGATGTTTACATATGGAAAGCATGCGCACAAGTGGGCATCTTTTTCACAAGAAATACTCGCAGCTATTTGAGTAGGCCTACTATGAATACGAGTAGCAGCAAAAGAGTATCTGGTTTGAGGATGCCGTCAAGGTCCTCCTCGCCATGGTCGGAAAGTGAGGTACAGGTATTAGAAGGTATTAGAAGGAAACGCCAAGAATAAAATGGTCTGTCGCAAAATAGGCTTTAGGTTATCTGTATCACCATGCCTACATGTAATATTAGTATCTTTGTCACAGTTATGCAGTAACTCGTATATCTGAAATAGAATAATTTAATTGTAAAAGGGTCAGATTTTTACTTATCCGAACAATAGAGCGCATGCTGAACAAGAAGTACGATTGCTGAAATTCTATCGCTACTGATCACTGCCAGTGTCAGTGTGAACGCAAATAATCTGTTTAGTTGACCACGATTCAATTGGAGTTAACTCGACCGCGGTTAACTTTCTAATGTGAATGGCCTATGTATTTGCCAGCTTTGTTGTCTAATTCTTTTATCATGTGTCACATTAACGTAAAAAATATGTAAAACCAATTGTGTTTGTTACAAACTATATTTCAATAAACCACAAAGTACAAAATTTGTTTTTTTTACAGATTATAAATGTATGTCATGTAAATATGACTGTATATATACAATATACAATATACAATTTTGTCTTGGCAAGATATCAAATTATATCAGCTGATGTAAAGTGAGGCTAAAATGTAGAGTGTCGAACACCAATCAGAGCCAGACATTACCTTTAGACAGCTGGTAGCTCTGTTGGTGTGTTAGCCCAAGGTGGGTACCCAAGTAGGCTCAATTGAGAACTTGAATGCCCCAATTCCTTTTTGACAGATATGCATATATGTAACAGAGTTTGGCACAAAGTATTTTCAGGCATATGCCCTGGCTGGCAAGCAGGTGTGAAAATCTACTCTCTCTTGCTTCAAATTTTTAGATATGTTGATTAAGTCTATAAAATGATAGGTAGCCATTGGCAGGCAGGAACTGGAAGCCCAACCTGGCAGTCTACTAGCCCTGGTCTATCAGGTTACTGCTAATGTCAAGCCCTGCTCATCCCATCCCTAAGAAGGGGGACACAGACAAGCATTTGCTAAATCACTGTTATCAGGCACAAGTGACTTTTAACATATGAATATGCATATTTTTAAACATACATTTTCACAAAGGCGTGTTCCTAAAAATCACAAGATAGCACAATAGACTTTAGTAGTAAAATGTTATCTTTGGTATTGCTCAGCCTTTTGACAGTGTGTACCTACTGAAAGGAACTACAATTTTTTTCTGTGAGGTGCAGATCTGACTTTATTAACAAAAATGTGAAAATGGGCTTTTCTCCAAAGCATAATATAAGCATTCACTGTAGATACCACTTTGTTTCACAAGTTCCAACACAATAAACGAATATTTGCAGATGGTTTACCTCAAGTAAAAAAATTATGCTTGAAGTCAATTTTGAACCTTTTCCGGGTTTGGAAACCGGAGAGAAACCCATAAAAGCATTGCACAAATTGAGTGAGACTGCCAGTCCAGCCATTTTAGATGCTGCACCTCCCCTGTCCTTTGTAATGACTTATCAGGTGTAAACAAAAATGTAACACTTTTTTTAAAATCTTTAATAAGAAATCATAGGTTTCTTTTTTTAGATGTTAGACATATGAACAACAGATGTGTTGGAAATAGGGACACAGTGATGGGATAGAGACATTCAGTGTCTGTATATAATTATTACCAGGGTAGAACTCCTTTTCACTTATCGCAAATTGGTTTTCTTAGTCTTAGATACACGAACGGGCCTTATGAACAAAATTGTCATTTGTGATCTCAAGCTGCGTGCAAAGCAAACCTACCTAGCAAACTGAAAGTCCACTCACCTTCCCATTTGGCATGTTGTATATGTGCTGGAGATTATCAAAAGTACATTACGCCCTCATAAATACACACTATGAATAGTAAATTATCTATAAAAATACATCAGTTTGATCCATGTTGAAACTCTATTTGTGAGATGGTAGAAACATTTGTTAAATGAAATTATAGAGCAGCGAATAAAAGCTGACAAAATCCTTCACGATGTTTATTGCAATGCATCATGTGACAGGTATGTTAACCTTTGCATCATGAAATCACATTTGAGTCCTTCATTCAGACCCTCTGCTATAATTTACATTTGGGACAAAGAAAGCCAAGATGCATAATCACTCTGTGCAAGTGTCAATTTAATTGTACTGTGTGTAAAAGAGATAAAATTCCAAAATTATCTACCTACTCAAAGTACATGACAGTTTGGAGCTAATCCCCCTTGTGAAGACATTCAAGTTAATTTTTTTTCAAGACACATACAGGGTTGATTTCTCTTTAAAAAAATCCAAGGCACCTGGCATTTCCAACAAACAATTTTAAGTGTAATTAAGAGAAGCTGAAGAAGACACATTTAAGTTCTTATGTAGACCTGCATTATGTCTATTCATAAAAAATATTACTCAAAATTAATATGACTCACACTGCAATATGGTCATGAAATATAATCCAAACTGAGACTAATAATCAAAGCAAACAATTAACTGTTAGCATATTATCAATTTTTTTAAAAAGCTGTCATTTACTGCAAATATCCTTCTATCACTTTTTTAAGCCATCATCACTGAAAACAAGTCCATTGTCTGCTTTGTCAATCTCTTCATTTTTCATTTTTTCATATTCTCCTTTCTCCATGTAAGGAGAAACAACAGTTCGTCTTCTCCATTGACCATCTGTATCCTTTACAAAGAGACTAGTTCCTGGCCCAAAGACAAGAGCTGCTACTATGAGAACCTGTGTATGCATACTATAATTTCTAATTTTCTCTGCCACTTCTAGTCTTCCACGATAAAGGTTGTATACAATGGCACCGGTTAAACCAAGTAATCCTGCAACAGCTGAAAGAATAAAAAAACACAGTGCATTACTTAAAATATTTAAATAATACCAAAAGAGTGTAGCATATCTAACTAGCAATGACAGGATTTGTAGGAACAAAACATGATATGTGTATTATTAACTTCACAGGATGTAGGACATCTAAGTACAAGATCCATTCATCCATAAATTCCCTGTAAAATCAGGTACTTTTCATGTCATTTTTAATAACCACAATAGCACTAGATAAAAACATAAAGAAAAGGATTATTCATGCCTGGCACTCTGGCGTGACACTGATTTTAATCTTGGATCCATTAATTAAGGGGATTCTGTATGAAATGAAATGCTACTCCTCCTGACCCACTGGCAAAGAGAGCTCTGGCATCAAGAAATAACATGCAATCCAAGAGAAATGGCAAATTCCCTAAACATTTCATTGTCTCAACTCGCACTCTCCTGTAAAGCCAACCAGTTTTCCTATCGACAGACCTATGAGTAAGGTAATATCCATCTGCTTGCTTACCAGTTGAGTCGGTCCTCTCCACAAACCGCAGAGGTAGCATTACAAATACCTGTCCAATGGCATGGCTTCTTTTTCGTAAGCCCGGTGTAATGGGAGGTTAGAGAAGACCGACTCAAGCGTCAAAGCGGGAATTTGGATTTACGGTTTGATTGTGCGTATGCCATGCACGGAATTAACAAACTAGCGACGGGATGATGTAGCCTGCGACATTTGCGGTAAGCGTGCCAAGTTTTAGGCCGCTACGATGCCCCGCAGTATTTTATTTCGATTTTTATGTTTAAATTTGTGGAATCTTGTTTCACAAGCTTACTCTATTTTATTGTCTCTATGGAGGTATATGGGGACTTTACGACATTCGGCTTGAAGGCTTTAACCACTTGTTATAGTTTATTTTTGCATTGTTTTGGATTAATGTGGCAGTCTAAGGTTGTTCTAGGTGGTTTTCAATTTTATGCACCCGTTTTTAAAATCATTTAGCGATATTAGGACAATCGTTTACTATCCAATCAAGGTGACAGCCGAGCGTGGTTAGATCTCTATGAAATTAGGCACCTACCAAAATAAAACTTACTTTTGAACATGCGATGTAGGTTGACATGATAATGATGCAATATTTTCCCCTTCTGAAAGCAATACACTGCACAGAGGAGTTCAATTAAAGTTCCATAAGCAATGCAATTATATCAGACTTTGTTCTTATGAATTCCTTGGGACAAGAAGCCTGTTTGTCTCAGCCATTCTCCCCTTGAGAGCAGGTGTATGATTTTACAAGGACCTACTAGTTTAACAAGCAGATGAATTGTGTTACACCTTGGTTAACATGAAAACTGGTTGGCTTTACATGAGTGTGCAGTTGAGAAGATGAGAGGTACAATAAAAATTGGCGAATACACAAACTGGTCCTTTAATTCACACTTTCAGAGCTCTTTGCTTTCATGCGTTAGCAAAGCAAGTACGTATCAGAATCGTCAACTGTCGTTCTAGCCATCTCTACTTCTATGTTCTAGCGTACTCCCAACCCCAACGCTTAATACTAAGTGCAAGTTTAATGAAACCTCATGAGCTTAGTAAATAAATGACACAAAAAAATGCCCATTGCTTTACCAAGAGATAAGACTGGATTCAACAATCCCTTTCTCTTCACTCTTTCAGTCGTTGATAACTTCATACTCTCTTCAAATCGGTGCCCTGGATCATGCCACACATATTCTTTTGGTCTGTACTCATCATCAAGGTCCTCTAATGATGGAAAAAGATATAAAAACTCTTCCTTAACTTTGCCTCTCTTTTTATACTCCTTTGATTCTTTTTCTAACCTCTTATCGCTAGGTGCAATCCTAGATTTTGCATCCATTTTGCAGGATTTTCACTTGTAGAGTTACCGTGGTACAAGTTATGAAATTTCGACTCTGTTCTTTTTGGTGTATGTTATCTACAGTATATATTTTCGACTCTGTTCTTTTTGGTGTATGTTATCTACAGTATATATTTAACTAAAAACATATATGAATTATTTTTACTTTTAGTTTTCTTCTGAAAATTTAATATGTATGATAACTGCTGCAGATTCCTTGCATTTCACAAAATGCGAAAATATGTAACTTCTTGGTTTCTAACTCAGCATAATAGTCAGAAGGCACGTTGCAGATTTCAGAACCGGCTTTCAGCAGTTGTTTTCAGCAGATCCCTTTTCTTTTAATTCACAAAACGCGTGTATTTAAGTTGGTTACAAATTATGGGAAAACCAAGAAAAACAAAAAAGAAGTTTGACTATGGCAAAAATCGCAAAAGACAATGGAAAAAAGCAAAGCAATTGCCACGAGTTAATTGGTAAGTACAAAACAAGTAGTAACGTCGCGGGACCCATTTTAGACAGGAAATGTCACTTTTTCTTGCTTGCTCAGTTATGGATTGCTTTATTTATGCGAAATTGGGCATACATCAGGAGCAGGCATTTGTTTTGATGCGATGTGAACTCGTAACTTAGGGCCACTTGCGCAGTATCCATTTTGGACACTTGCATTTTAATCGTTTAAAAATGAACGCAGCTGCATGGAATAAAATTAAAATTAAAGTAATGGTATGGTGACTAAATATAAAATAGGGCCTTTTTTTCATGGAAGTCCAAATCCCATTGGTATGAAAAGATTTCTTTTTTTTTTGTGATTTATTTTCATTCGTAAAGTATACTAAAAGGAAAGATGGAGAAATGATCACCAAATATCAAATAAATAGCTTTTTCATAGAGGAGTCATTGGGTTGTAAAATAGACGTTTTAAATTTTCTTATTTTCTCATGAAAATTTTCACCTGCAAACAAACAAAAAGTGCCTATGTATCCTCCATTATGCATACTACAAGTTAAAAGTCATATACGGTAATGTGCCAAGCATTTCGACGGGCCCAGTCAATCTGACCAAAAAATTATATTATAATATTAATTATTCTGGGCTCAAACATTTAGTCCATACGTCAAAATCATGCGACAGAATTTTTTTCTTGTTCCGATTGTTCGACTACATCGTTGGCAAGACTCGGTAAATTTTCAAGTCAGTGAAATAAATGCTGCATGCCTCGGCCCTTTGTCAATTGTTGTACTTTAAAAAGTTCTCGTCAATGAGGAAGAAACAATTAATTTAAGATCTAATCTGGTAGCGTGAAGTACCTGTCATTTCCTTTGTCCCCGATGACAATAATAGTGCTTATAGACATACAATTTGTGCTAATTAAGCAGACTTGCCCTCGCTGACTGATTCGTCATGCCCGTAACTTTGGGGGGGGGGGGGCATTTTGAATAATAATAATTTAAAAAAAGTTCTGTTCTGGATGAAACCAAATAGCGACAGTGGGTAGAATATGTCGTAAACACCTTCATATAGACCATATATAGCGTTTGCTAGCAATGAAAAGTTTGGGAAGAATAAGCAATTTATTTTCAAGTTCAATTGAAATATATATGCAGATGGGGATACGTTCTTGAAGTCAACACCGCAAGATCTTACATTTACTACAATCGACCGAAAGATCAGCGGGATCGACCGCCCAGACTTCTTGGCGCCAAATACCACGCGCTGTCAAAATCTGACGAACGTGTAGCTGTTCACCTACGTAGATAAATGATTTGTCAACAATAAAAATGACGTCTTCCTTATCACCTTGGAAATTTCACAGAGAGTCCCACTGGGTATTTACATTACCTGTAACTTTTTATTTCCCCAGATGCATGACATGTTGATATTATTTAGAGTAATCCATGAAGAACTCCATTCCTGTGACGCCCCTCCCCCACAATGGGACTTTCTTCAGTAACATGTGGTTTGTGCTAGGTATGCTGGAGCAGACCAGATAAGACCAGTCTCTCAATTCTGCGTGTGCTCAGTTCTCACGTCAAATTATAAATGCATCTGATTTGTGAAAATTATGGCAATTAAATGCTTATTTTACGTTGGGATTGTATCAGTGGGGTTTTCAATATGCAGCGTTAATTTTGTGCACAGCGAGTGTATATAAGTAAGAAAATCGGAAGAGTGCCAGCAAGATGTGTCTATCGGCACAGGTAGGCTCCGTAGTTTGCCTTTTCTCAGTATGTTTTAATATGACATGCTTTTTAAATTAAATACTTAAAAGTAATCAAAAGTTACACTGAATTCCGTTTGAGAACCAGTTGGTATTCTTTGATGGGGTGATTGAATTTTCTTCGGAAGTACGTATGTCTACGCCTTGATGCCGAACAAGCCTTGCAAATTGAAAACAACTGATCCCAGACTGGTAAAAAAATTCAATTCAGTTGATTTTAGTTGTCATATTAAAATTCAAATAGGGCGTACGTAGATCACATAACTAGTTTAAGTCCACTAAAGCTACCAGTTTCAAATATAAGTGACCGGGCATTGTTTACAACACCTGTCTCCGGGGAAATACTTGTCCCACTTGTGAAGCCTGTCATGACATTAATCGTAGGTGAGGAAAATAAATAGACAGAAATTATAACTGCCGTCTGTTTGAATGTCAAGTAATGTTAGCACATATTGTACACAGCAAAATCAGATTTCAAAAGGAGGATAAAATGTGCCTGAAACATGTGTTAAGCGAAAATTGCGGCTTATCTTGCATAACACTTTGGGTAAACTGCAATACTTCCGGTAAGATGGACGTTTTTCAGATGCCCCAGACAATCCGACGATATTAAAGGTTTCCATTGCTATGTTTTAATCAATTCGACCAAAATGACATTTCCCTGAAATTAATTAATTAATCTTGGTCGAATTGTTTGGCATATTACCGTACTCAAATAAAATAAGATTTATTAAGTTTTGTGGGGGGAGTCAAAATTAATTTTTGACTGGTGGGGTCAGATTTTCATGGTACACCAGTTTTCCATTTTTAGTTTCTGCCTGACATATGTGAATTGCTTAAAAGAGCCCCGTGTTGGCTGCCTTCAAGCAATGCACACTGATGTGGGTGAATTGCGCAAAACACTGCAATTTTTTCAATGTCAGGTTGGCTGCCAGAGTGGCCCTTCTTGGCCAAAAATATTTCAAAGAAGAGCCAATTGCCAACATGGCTGTCAAGACGACGATATAAAAGTCTCGCCAATTTTTATGTACAGACACAGATGTGTCTGTACATATTGCCATCACCTGCGTCTGTCGTCGCCGTTGCCGTCGCCGTCGCCGTCGCCGTGCACTTTCAGCGTTAACACCATAAGTGAGAGACAGTTTTACTTTTTGGCTTTATATTTACAGAGCTGACTAATATTCATAAAACGCAGGTCAAGTTCGAAAATCAGCATGATCGGGCCATTATTGTAGAATTTATCCTGTTTTTTCACTTTTTAGCATATATGCAACACTGTTAACACATTTCAAGGAAAACCGATAGGCCTGTTGTCATGAAACTCACAGGAGTTATCAATCTTACTAAAACGCAGAACAAGTTCGAAAATCGGCATGATCGGGCCACTATTTTAGTAGTTATGCTGTTTTATTCACTTTTCAGCATATGTGCAACACTGTTAACACATTTCAAGGAAAACCGATAGACCTGTTGTCATGAAATTCACAGGAGTAATCAATCTTACTAAAATGCAGGTCAAGTTCGAAAATCAGCATAATCGGGCCATTATTTTATAAGTTATGCTGTTTTTTCACATTTCCTCAGATTCAATTCTTCGGCATGTTAACAGTCTCATTATTTAACTAATAAGATTAGTAAAAGTGTTTGTTTGACATTTCCTGCATCTTTACAACATTGTTAGTTGATTATGTAAAAATTATGGTAAACTTGTTATCATGTATTGTATAATAGAGTTTCAAAAATGGAAATAAACTCATTGCAGTTTGTCAGATTCATTCATTCACTATGTTCAGAAACTCAGAATGGAGGAAATTGGACATTAAACACTGTTCTATTGATATTTTTCCCATCTCATCAATTTTCTTAGTTGATCATATTTAAATGGCAGTAAATTGTTAATTTTGTTATATGTTAAAAAATTGTTAAAAATGAAAAAAAAACACATTTCAGGACAGTGCTGTCTTGTCTACATTTTGGCATTTTCAAGGTGTGACTTTGAAGTTCCTTGGGCCTGAAGACCTTTGCTAGGTACATTTTCTGAATATCCATGATACTAATATTTTATTATTAAAAATTGATGGTAATTATCCTGTTAAACATTATGTAATATTGCATCAAAATTTGAAGACACCCCTATTTTGGACACTGCTCCCATGATGACCATTTAAGGAAAACCATGTCACTTACTGTTCTCAAACTTACAGGAAGAAACATGGGACTTAAATAAAGCTTCAGTGGGCAATGCAGTCTATTTGGTAAATTTTTTTGGCAGTTAATCAGTTTTTTGTGAAAATTTAATTTTTCACATATTGGCATTTTCAAGGTGTGACTTAAGAACCTCCACGGGCTTGAAGACCCATGCTAGTCACATTTCTGAAAATCCATGATACGGATCTTTTATTAATAAAAACTGATGGTCATTATGCTGTTAAGCATTATGTAATATTGCATTAAAATAGAAGAAAACACAATTTTGGGTGCTGCTGCCATGATGACCATTATGGGAGAACCATGTTACTTATGATTGTCAATCTTTCAAAAAAGAAACAGGACTAAAATGCAGCCTGAGTTAGAAAAGCAGTCTAATTGGCTTCTTTTTCTGGAAGTTATACATTTTAGTGAAATATTCATTTTTATCATGTTGGCATATTCATTGTGGGACTCGAAGCTCCCATGGACATGAAGCCAAATGGTAATCAAATTTTCTACATGTCCATGCTATTTATAGTCAATAATCAAAAATTGGTGATAATTATTCTGTAATTTATTATGTAATGTTACATCAAAATTGACAAAAATCTTTTTGCACTGCTACTACAAACATTATGAAAAGAAAACTGTGTTACTTATTATTATTTTCAACTTACAAATATGATTTGTAGGATTGGCATGCAGTTCAAATAAGGAAGCCAGCTCAAATGGGTTATCATTTATTATTGAATTTAAGCAGTTTTATGTGAAATTTTCATTTTTCTCATTCTGGCATTTTCAAAGTGTGAACTTAAACTCCCATGGGCCTGAAGCCTTACGCTTGTTACACATTTCACTTACATTGGTAATACCTGTTGAGCATAATTAAAATTTGATGTTGAATTTGCAGTTAAGCATAATGTACTTTTGCATCAAAATTGACAGTAGCCTGTTTTGTTATTTCCTGCTTTTTGTCTGTACATTTGACAGCTTTGCTGCCTTGTTTAATCTATATTAACGATATTAATTACCTAGTAATATAGTTTGCTTTTATATCACCTACCCTAGGTTCTAGATTCCAGTATTGCCAGTTCGATCTTGATTTCATATATAACCCATATCAGCAATACCAGGCTCTAGCGAATATCCGTAGGCGTTCTTCTTCAAAATTTTGCCTGGGGCGCTTCCATATTTGGAAGTCACACGTCACAGATGTGTCCGCCTGGATCCATATTTGGAAGTCATGTCTCGTACGTCACAGGTTTGGCCACCTGGAGCTGCCTTTCCCACATTGCGCTGACGTTATCTCGTGCAGACGAGTCAAGAAGCAAAGTGGCTGACGCGGAGTTAGAAGTTTGAATTAAAAATATCTTGCAGTCTAAGGTCAGTGCCACAATACAAGCGACATTCTACTTTAAAAACTGATTTTGGTGTAGCTATTGCACAGCCCTTATAGTGGTATCAGGCATACAGTGTAGCTGTCAAACTTGGCACACGGCAAGCACGTGTGTTCATGCTTCCAGGGGCAAATGTTTTTTGATAAGCAAAAAATACAAAAAACATTGGATATGTCTTTTTCTTTTAGAAACATTATTTATTTTTCACTTTACATCTTAAAAACAGTAAATAAAATTAAATAAAGCAGAATTAAATCTGTTTTACATTTCATTTTGGTTTAATGACATTCAGCTGCAGATTCACTGTGGAGCAGTTCTTTTTGATTGAAGAAAGTCGAACATGGTCGCTGTTCTTCAGAGCTCACTGTTGAAGCCCGATTCACAGTGACTCTGACACTCAGGGCAATAATACCCTATTTTGTTGGGAATGACCATTTCTTTTGTGTAATTGTAAGTGGACTTTTTTCCCAGTGTTGCCATATTGCGCTGTATTTCAGTGTATTGCGCTGTATTTCAGTGTATTGCGCAATTCAGCCACACCCAATGCACAGTTTTCAAGTCAACCACCCCTGCCCTGGTCAATGATAAGAACTTATTTCAATCCTTTTAACCATTAACCAGTATAATTACTTGACATGTTTCTAGTTAGGATACTTACGATTTTGTGGTATTTCTTATCATTCAAAAAAACAAAAATCTGTGTATAACATCCACAACAGCGACAGTAAATACGTCATCATAAAGGTAAAAAAGGGAATAACACATTATTTAAACTGTTACTGATTTACCATACAAAATTTTATTTTCCTACTTTGATGAAACAATGTGCAAATTGTTTAGTGTGATAAAAATACCTGACAATAATTTAATTTGCTGGTTGCAATCAAAATATTACATGCACCCTATTCAGTATTGCAGATTAGTATATTAAAGTATTAGCCCTAAAAAAAAAGTATAATGTTTCTTGTCAGGAAAGATTTTGAAAAAAAAAAAAAAAAATATATATATATATATATATATATATATATATTTTTTTTTTTCTTTTTCCAAATGTCTGTACCCCCACAACTTAGGTAACACACCTTAAATGTTATGCAAAATGGTTAAAGTCATAATAACTCTTCGTTTTGGCCAAAAATTTGATTTTCCTGGAATAAACGGCAATTTCCCCGTACTTACCAATGGTCAACGACCCATTCCTGCATTCAAAGTTAGTCTAGGGTTTTTTCCCTAAAAGTTTGTTTTTTTCTTAAAATCTCTTAAGAGATTTTAACTGACGGAGCCCTCTCTGACATTGCATAGTCACACGATATCGAGCGAGGTTTTCTGGTGACCTACTTAAAACCAGACTACAACAACACTATATAACAATAATATAAGATTCATACGATATATTCGTCTTGTTGTTCAAAATGCATTTATATCTACAATGTGTGCAGTTCTGGGCTATTCGTTATCCGACACACTGTACAAAAACTCACAACTTACGTCTGAGGATTGCATCATGCACTGCTATCTTATTGCCGCCATATTGGTTTTGAATGAATGCGAGAATCCGCATGACACCCCAACATCATTGGCAATGGATGCCTTGACAACCGGGAAAAAGGCATCGAAAGCCCTACTGACAAGCACAGTTTTTAGTGTTACTACAAAATCAACTGTTTTAGTGGTGAAATGCAATATAATATATTTCCATGCGTTGTTTACAATGTATTTCTTGGAGAATTTTGAATCTCAAAGGAAGAGTTATTATTGCTTTAATCATTTAAACTTTTGCTCAGTAAAAACACATTGAATAAAATACCAAAGGAAATAAATGTTTAATAGAAGAAATATTAACATGTTCTGTAGACACCAGAGAGAACCTGCTATGTATCATGTGCAAAGTTTTTTTTTTTTTTTTTTTTTTTTTTTTTTCCGGAGAACAGCCCAGTCATTTTGACGACCAGCTTCCTCAGAAGACAGCCAGCATTATCAATGATTGCCAGACAGCAGCTTGTATTTAACAGAACTGGTTCTCTTTGAAAGGGAAATAGACCATAGGGATATATATATATATATATATATATATATATATATATATATATATATATATATATGCACTTATTCTAGAGCTTTAATTTCAAAATGAACATCATTTTGTATTTCAGCAATGAAATTAGAGGGGCTTGGGATAGTAAAAGATCTGTGCTTCAGAATATGAGTGATATGGGAATCTCCTATGATCCTAACAAAACAATCCCTGTTCCTAAAACAAAGGTATGTTTATGTTAAATTGCCAAGTAATTTTCTTTCAGTTTCTATGTAAAAGATATGGTAAAGCATATTTTACTTGAAAAAACTTTAAATTTTGAATATGAATTGTGAATTTATTTTGATATATTTCATGTCACCTCGTAAGTGAAAGTTTTTGTTTTTGATATAGACTGCTATAAACCCAGATGAGATACCCAAAGAAACATTCCAGTTAGAGGGACAACACCAGAAGAGACAAGTAGTTCAAGGTGAAATTTATCAAAGAATTATATCATCTGTGCTAACTCATATTTAACCGTTACAGTAGTGGTAATGTGCCATGAATTATGAATGGCTCCTACATGACTAACGATCTTAATATCGACTGTCTGGAGTTTTTATGGACCATGAATTCAAACTAGTAAGCAATTTTGCACGATCTTCATTTAAGTGAATTTTGTACAGCTTAAAAATAGGCCATTGGGCTGTTTTCGGGCTCATAAAAATGTAACAGTAGGCAATGTTGCCTTAGCGTACCTTTTCCTGAGTACTATGTATTATAGCATTCAGTTAAGTAACCTTTTTATATACAGACACTGGAAGTGGCCATATAATTTCTGTTTACCTGTGGTTGGGCCATTATGTGGTATTTGGTCCCCAGACTTTAAAATACAAAAAGACTCCTACTGAAAAACTTAAAATTTCTGAAACCAGACACCTGTAGTCATCAGAATCGAGGTTTTGATGATAAATTATGATTCTATTTGCACTTTTATTTTGAAAAATAGTGTTTGGGAAGGACATTTTTTATTTTTGATATAGTTTTCAAAACATTGATCATTTTTAATTATAAAGGCTAAAGATGTTAAATTTAAGTTAGAGTAAAATATATTTGATAAGAAAATAAATGATGAATTAATATCAATTTGTCCTTTCCAGATGATTTTGGCACCTACTTTTGAAGTTTTCTCAGTAACTACAAAAGCTAAAAGCTTTTTACTTCACATTCTCCTCAAACATGATATGAGTCAACAACCTATGAAAGAAATTTTGATTATAAACATTTCAATGAGAAATCAATTCAAAATAAATAAACATTTGAAAATAACACCTAGCATTTTGGAAGGGTATGTGAGGCATTTTGATTGGGTATGAAGAGGTTAGGTGACCAATGACACTGAAACCCTTGTGTCTATCAATATACTTAAGATTTTTAAATGCAGAGACATTAAAAACAGAATCTTTTTTAACTTGGTTGCATTTCATTTGAATGAATAATTTTGAAAATATAATCTTCACATTTAATTATTTTTATGAATTAATTTGGTAAGAGTTACTCTAAAATGTATCCATGTTGTGCTGCTTTTGCTGTCCCACATATTTGTTAACACTATGACTGCCAAACCATATTTTTTGTTTTAATGTAGATTTAGTAGAAGGTTTTGATAGGCAAAAAGGCAGGCTGAGTTTGATAATCAGCATGATCAGATCTTACAGTTTCATGTACATTCTGTTTTGTTTTGCAAATACTGTTGCCCAGTGGTTTCTTTATTGTTCTGTGGGAGGGGTTGTTACATTTCAAAATTGTAGGTTACTATGTTTAAGGTTACTGGAAGTAAACTTTTCCAATTTTTCGATTTATTTAAAAAAGAGTTTAAGGATTGAAACGTAAAATAAAAAGTTGGAAGTTGTATGCAAGGTTTAGATTGAGAACTTCTTTAAAATAACAAGGTCAGTGCAGAAGAAGCAGTCATGGTTTGGAAGGCAGATTTGCCCTATTCTTTAACTTGTGAAATGTGCCTGTTTATGGGAATTAATTAGTACCACCAGCGTGTATGCTGGCGGTACTCATGGTTTTAGTCCCGACCCATATCGTACGGCTCCGCCGGCTCCGTGAGCTCCGCCGGCTCCGCAGGGTGGCGTGGGATACAAGTCACCGTTACCGCTTCTCCTCCTAGACTGCATGGGCCTGTGTCCCCATCTCTTGGATTTAGGTCACATATAATCTCAACTTGAACCCCCTGGTTTTTTTGTCTCGATCGGTGCAATTGCCTGGGCATGACGCTCGTTGAAATGCACCCTTGTCAAAATTTTTGAAAATTCAATGCTATATATCTCCCAAACTGAAGGAATTATGGGAAAAATTAATATAGAAGTCTGACCGAAAGTCACATATGAGGATTCCAAATATGCCCTTGGATTTGACCTTTGACCTTTATTTCAAGGTCAAACAGGCCAAAATTTTCAAAAAAAGGGAATTTTTTACGAAAAAAAAATTATTTGTGCTGATATTCAGAAACTACGCAGACCTAACCTCTAATATTTTTGGTAGTTGTTACCCTTCAGGTTATCTTTCATCTCTGTGAGTTTCGAGTCAATCGATGCATTTTCACGGGAGCAGCGGCCATTAGATGCTGAAACATAAAACTCTCTCTAATTCTGGAGTCGTTAATGCTAGAGACCTCTTGTTTTTTGCATTTGATAGAGCATGTCAAGCCCAACACTGGAGGTGGTCTCCGTTTTTTTGTTTTCCATACGGTTCACGAGTTATGCTGTATCAAAAAGTACATTCCTACTTTTCACCATTAACTGAAGTTTGAAAATTTTTAGTCTCTTATATCTCCAAAACTAGAAGAGTTGGGTCAATAGTTACTATTGAAGTTGAATAGGAAGTCATATACTGGCAATTTAACTGTGACCTTGAAATTGACCTTTGACCTACTTTTCACCATGGACTGAACTTTGCAACTTTTTTCAGTGCTTATACTTTCAAAACTGGCAAAGATATGCCCATAGTTAGTACCACCAGTGTGTAAGCTGGGGGTATTCGTGGTTTTAGTACCAACCCATATCGTACGGCTCCGCAGGGTGGCGTGGGATAAAAGGCACCATTACCAATTATCCTCCTAGATCGCAAAAAAGGGAATTTCTGCAAAAAGATATTTGTTTGTGCCAATGTTCAGAAACTAAGCAGACCTTAGCTCTCATATTATACTGAGGGGTTACAATTGCAGACTGCTTTAATGTGTGGAAGTTCGGGGTCAATCGGTGCATTTTCATGGGAAAAGCAGCCATTAGATGCCAAAACTGAAAAAAAAAAAAAAACACCTTGTTTACTACATTTCCTGCAGCTTGTCACCCACAACCATACAGGTGGGGCCCCACTTTCTTTTTCTTTCCCATACAAATGCGCTTACCCCAGCTGGTGGTACAATATCAGGAGGCGGTATCGCCTCTCTGATCCTCTAGTTATTTTCTGATAAATGTCTGGTACATGTCTAGTTTTCTTCCTTTTGTCTAATTAACTAATTATAATGCATGGGTTTCCTCCTTGAAAATTAACATTTTACTTATATTAAATTGCACATAAAACTTTTCCCTGTTTATGTAATTCTTTAAGATTGATAAGTGTTATGTGGATATGTGTCTAATTTTGATTAGTTTTCTGCTTAGTTATCTAAATGTCTTAGTATTAATGAGTGAATGTTTTTAGTCATCCTTTTCTGCATAGTTATCTAAATGTAATAGACCCGTTTTCATACCTGGGTCGATCCTGATAGAGCTAGGTATGGGAACAGTTTCATAGTATCAGTGAGTGAATGTTTTTAGTCATCCAGTAGAATTAGAATCGGGAAGATATGTAAGTCAAATAATGAAAGTAACTGTTTCAAAATTTCACACACACACACACATATATATATATATATATTCCAAATGCTATTAGTATTGCCCAGTTGACCCAAGACCCTTATAAAAATATTTGTTTTGTTTTGGGAAAATAAGAAGCTATGTAAAATTGTGATTTCTTGTTTTCATATATTTTTTACATCTGCAAAGTTCTCAAATTTTGTTCCCAGCTCTGGAAGAGCAGGCATCCATACCACAGCCCAGAAAAGTTAGGTTATCACAACCAGAAGTTAAATATTGTATTTATATGATGGAAAAATATGGAGAGGATTACAAGGTAAAGTTTTTCTTTTATTTTACCTTAAGAATCAAGACCTATGCTAATGTGTTGAAAAATATTAATACAAATTTTTAAAAAATGATACAAATCAATAATTTGGATAATAAGTGATACCTCTCTAAACATTTTTGTTGTACAGGTTGTCTTTTATCTGGCACTATCTATTTATTTAAATACCTTCTGTGATATCAGTTTCATGATAAAAATTGTTAAAATTGATTTTTTAGGCCATGGCGAAGGACGAAAAAAATTATTACCAAGAAACGCCCAAACAAATAAGAAGAAAGATCAGGACATTTATGAGTATTCCGGAACAATATAATATCTACCTTAAATCAAAATAATTAAAATCTGATATAGCAACTCATGATAGCTGATGGACAAAGGAAAAGATAAATGGGGATTACTGGCTTCATCATCAGAAATAAAACTTTTTTAATGTGTAATGTAGCCCTGACTTTGTTTCATTATATCAACAGACTCAGCGGAAAGTTTATGAACTGCCAGTTCACGTGCAACTTATTCTTATTAGCCAGTTATTGCAAATAATCCCTTTGATTAGCCTTGCTTTAATTAAAGTACTAGTGTAAAACTTCCTTTCCAAATAATGAAATGCTTTCTGACATATATACAAGTTGTAAGCAGGTGTGAATTTAGTAAAAGGTTTGCTTTGTCTGATTTGTACCTGTTATTTAAGACAGTTTTAACTTGTTTCAATTTGTCTGGGTAGAGTTGACATACACTTAAGAGTTAAATTAATAACAGTATATCTGTTAAATGTAAATTTATTTGAAATCAGCATTGTTGAGCAAATTACACACTTGGCAATGTCAGACATGTCTGAAAATTATCTGCATAATGTTGAATAAATTTGATCAGCTTCTATAAGGTCAAGAGGTAAAATCTGTAAATAAGGAGGCACTGCAGAAAAATCACCAAATTTCAATGAATGATATTCAAAATAGCAGATCTAATGCATTGATTCCACAAGTAAATTTTTTAAAATGTTAGTATTGAAAAAGTAAGTTAAAAAGCACTTCAAATCACAAATCCATACTAATAAGAAAAAATCTGCGTAAGTATAAAGTGATGTTCTCCTCTCAGTTATTTCAGCACCAACTGAAAGTGAGCAAAATTGAGCAAATTATCACAGTTTTATAGACAACAACAGATGAATGGTCATAATAAAGAAAATTTCTGTGTTGAAAGTGTACATCTGCTTTCAAACACGTATTAACAAAGAGGTCACAATTCTTGATGTCCAACTGCAGTTGAACAAAAAGAACAGTCGTTCCAACTGATTACGATTTTAAGTATTTACTACCATCGATAGATGTGTTGCTTCAAACTGAGAAACGTGAGCAAATGTAATGAGATGATATGAAGCTAACGCTGAATTGGCTGGGCTAGTTCTTCTGTGCGTCTTGAGCAAACTGCTTTGAGAGCAGCTTCTTTTACTAGAAAAGCATCTGGATCAAATTGCACATGGTCCATTGTTGCTCTGATGATTGGAACTGAGAGTTCATTGAGACGTACACCTGCAATAGCCTTTTTAGAGGCTCTTGAAATTCTCCACTGTGGGTCTTCCCTGTTTGGTTGAAAGCCTTCAGGCAATGTTTTAGGTTTAGCAAGTTCCAGTTGGCGGTTTGAGGCATTAAATGACATAGCTGTCTTGGCAACCTAGTAATTTCAAAAAAATTTTTTTTTTCACTTAAACTTTAAAATACACTATGTTATCATAACTGAAAAAGCACATACTAAAATTGTATGAAAAAATAACAGTAGCTTTAATGGCCAAGTTAGTCTCAGGAACAAACAAAAGTATCTTGCTGAAAGCTTGTAATAGTGAACTGACAAAGTAAACCATTACTAAAGTAAGACAGAGAAGTTAATTCTTTGAGGGCTCCTTACCGGCCACTGTGGTTCTCTAAATGGACCCTCCTTTCGGCTTTTAGGCCTAGCCAGGAACTCTAGTCTTTCAGTACACTTGGCATGTGTTAGTGCTGGCTTGGGGATAATAGTTGCTATCTCCCGTTCTCCTTGGAAATCAGGATGAACCGACTTGGGTCTTGACAAATTACTTGTTCGAGGCCTTTCCTCGCACTGTTTTGCAGCTTCACTCAGTTCCCAAATTGGACTCACACGTCCACAGCTGTAGGCAAATGAACGTCTGTAACACAAAATTACTTTTGTCAAACTTGGTTTGGACTTTATTTTATCACTAAAATTTATGTTACTGAAAAATATTGAAAATTTCTTATTATTTTTAAGAAAAAAATAATATCAATAAAGAAGTAACTGTAGGTATGGAGGAGGATATTTATTTCATGATTCCCTCTTTAATACAAGATCGTACAACAAACTTACGTGTGTAATTCAGTGAGGGAAAAGACCCCATAAAAGTACATATATGTGAAATGGCACTGAAAATGTATTGTATTCTAGCAAATGCTCATTATCGTAACAGCGTTACCTATCCTCTTTTTCCAAATACTCCTTTAAAGGTTTTTTAGGGTAAGCCAGTACACAAAGTCTTTCAGAGGGTTCTGCTTTCTGTGCTAAGGGACTGACTTCCCAGATGACAGAGGCACGACCACAGCTACCCACCTCGTATTGAGGCCTGAAACGGCAATTAGTAAATAAACCAACTTCTGTCACAATTGATTTTACAAAAGAAGCATAATTTTTCAATCACATTCAATATTATTCTAAACTATGATAAAATGAAAACTAGCTGGTGTCTATGGGTAGCCATAGCATATTGTTGCGCTTCCCCAGATGGTACAGAGTAGCTCACCCTCAGGACCCCATTCCTGTGATATCTATGACAATGCATGGGTCCTACATGGACAAATTGTTGCATATAATCCTCATAAAAAGCATAAAAAAGTATTGGTAAATCGCTTAATGTAAAAAAGAATCAACCACCCCCTACCCCCCAAGTACAACCCAACACCCACACGCACATAAGTTATTACTGGCCCATCCATATCCCTGAAGTTTGAATTTCCTCACTCTAATGGTCTAGAAGGAGATAAATAAAGTTACAATTAAGAAAATTAAAATCACCCATCCCCAGAGACAGTCCTATCCAAAGGCACACTAAAATTGCAAAGTACCCGTGCACATCCTCTATGATAAGTCTATCAATCTCCAAAGCCATAATTTCAACAATGAAATTGAAATAAAAGTTTACCTGTTCACTCTTATTCCTGTCTGAAAATTTTTCTTCGGGTTTGCTAGCTGTATAACTCTGGCAGTGGCTTGAGTCTTCAGTGCATCTGCACTTATTGGCCATAGCATATCTTGTGTGCCCCAGAGAACACGTGGCCTACAACAAAATGGTAATTGTTTTTTATAATATTATTATTTTTTTACCACAGTTAATGCTTTTTCACCCATTTCATTCATACGTTACACTGTATGTAATCTTTTTTAGAATATTATTCAGTAAACTTACAAGTTTGTCACTTTACATCCTATGAAATGTTTGTAAGCTACAGACAGCCAAATGATGTTCATTGCTTCACCCCCCCCCCCCCACTGCACACACACCCACACACATTCATCCAAATCCAAACAATTTTAAAGAATACAAGAACAGTTAAGTCCATCTTTTTCATTTTTTTTTCCAATTCTATCAGCCACAACAATTCATTCTCTATTTAAATTCAGTGTAACCAATAAAACCATGAAAAAAAAACATGAAAAAAGTCTTACCCAAAACTTGTTTGCCATATTGCCTTGGATTCTTTTGGATGAGCAAGTTCAAATATCCTCTCACTAAAAAAGAATTTAAAAAGTAATTTAAGCCATTCAAGAAATAACTGACAAAGAAATTGGTCTATTATTCCAATCTAATTGTTTATTTCAACTATTTGCTACGGATTTTGGTTGAAATTGACCTTGGTATTTATGAAAAAATATACAGATGCCCTCTATTTATACTATGTAATGCCACAAAAGATGAAAGTAAATCACTAGCAGTTGCAGTATTTAAGATTCAATGAATTGGAGTAAGAATGAATTCATAACAATTTACGTCAGTAATTTGTGTAACAAAACCCACAAAACAAAAGCAACCCATATTGCTAACTATTGGTAATTCTGTGTACAATAAAGGTGTGAATACAATAATGAATGCAAACAAAGTCCCAACTATAATGAAGAACAGTTCACTAGTGCAGGTGGTATAAATGGTAGGCATTAAAGTATTGTTTATTTGTTTTACTCAAACTTTTGAATTTTGAACCACTTACACAGTACCTTAAATTTATACCCCACCACTCATATAGATTATGAAACAAGCACTTGAGTTGTTTATTTGGAACAATTGTGGTCAATATCTGCTTGTGTATAAGAAATAGGACATGCAAGTATGACTGAAAAAGATCGTCCAAAATCCAACAGCTAATCACAAGTTTAGTTTTATTTTATATTTTGACAACCATCCACTTTTGACAAATAAAACCCTAAAATGTATAGAGACTTACCTATCATAGAAGGGAAAAGCTCTAGGCTGAACTGAAATAACATACATCAAATTTTCAGAATGAAATGTGTGAACAATGGCATTATATCAGAACAACCATAAAGAATCAATAGAATTATACTGACGTCTACAGGAACTATCAAAACTCTGATTATCATTAACCATAAAATGATTTATAACCCTGTATAATAAAGTCTAATGAAACTGAAATTTATGACCACAAAAGCAGGCAGCTTCCTTGTCATTCAAATTAATCTTTCTATGCATCAATTAAACCTGCAATCATTACATTGAGATCTATTGATTGTCATTTGGTCTAAGGAAGCTGTGACAAAGAGCCATAAGCAAATCAATTTAAAGGTAATGAAGTAACAGATTACAGCAAGTGCAATGGAATTAATGAGAGATTTTTCACACAGCAACGAAAGTTATTCTACTTATTGATGTAACCATATACATTAATTATTGACAACTACTACCTGTGGATGGCTGCTGCCTTTTATGAGTTCTAATCTTTGGCATTACTAGCCTGTTTTCACCCACTGCACAGCAAACAAGGAAAGAAAATAGTTCATGAGAAATTTAGTAAAATAGAGGAATTCATGCACTGACACTCAAGAAAGCATAAAAGGGCATTTATTGAGTTTTGTAATATTTATCTCTAATGTTTATTTGCTAAAATATGAGCAAAAAAATGCTTTTTGTGTGTTTATACTCTCATCTATATCTATAAAATGACATAAAATTTGCATGATCCGCTTCAGTTTGTTCCCACTGTAGTGTTTCATGTCAAAAGTCAAGATAGCAGCTTGGCGGCTAAATGTTTGTATTTCCTTTTCAGACACGATATGTGAAATATTAATAAAAGATGGGGATATTTACAACCTACTCGTACTATACAATGCCATGCCAACAAGTTATTTGAACTTTGTGGCCATAATAGGAAACTGAATGATCATTAAGTGTTAAAAGATAACGAACCATGGTATACTACTTGTACCTGTATAGTGTGTAAGTTTTAGTATTAAATGTCTAATGTACATCTAGATAAAAATGTCTATTGTTTTGTAGACAATTATTATTAATTTACATGATTTTAAACAAGGCTAGGGGGAATTAGTAGGCAAAGTTCAATCAGCATCCCTAAGCTCTACCAAAGCATTACTGACCACTATACCAATCCTACTGAACTGGAAATTATAGCGTACCAGTAGCAGGTATAAAATGTCAGTAATAAACAAATGTGCAAAAAACACTTTTAAAAGAATGTTCACTTACCTGCTACCCCAGCCATTTCCCCTAGACAACAGTACTTAAACTACTACTCTATCTAAAGAAAAACGGCTATACATCTAAAGCCTGTCAAAGTTTTGCATCATTTGCTGCAGTTATAATAGCCATGTGCTAGCCGCAGAGCGTCACATGGCAACAAACGCGAAAACGAGGCTCACGCGCGACCCACATTGTCAACATGACCTGCATAGTAAAGAGGGTCAGCGATGCGTTAGCAAGACGCAACTAAACTCGTTTAACTTAACATGAAATTGTTTTCTTTTAAAACATGCGAAAAGAGCAAAAACTATGAGGTGGATTGAATTCCATAACGTATTTAGACTGGTATTAATAGTCTAGCTGGATGCTTTGTAGTAGACCAAGGGACCCACTGAACGCCCCAGCTCCAACGTCGCTGGAAAAACTGTTTGATAATATTCATTAGGAATTAATTTGTTTAAAAAACAATCTTACATAAAGGATTTTGAAAGTAATGAATTACTTCAATTTTTAGTCAGTTTTCTATCTTGTCATGACTTTGTGACGCTACAACAGAATAACTGTCTTGTTACGTGAACAATGATTAATTGTGACGTAAAAGCTTACATGTAGACCTACCATCGCAACGAAAATGGTAGGAGGATTTTAATATTGTCAAGAACAAAGCGTGAGTTTATTCATTAATTATATATATATATATATTAAACTGCAATGAAACGAAGTTTCCATCCATGATTGTTAAAAAGCTTTTTCTGTAAGTAACATTCAAAGCTGTTGTGCGGCATCCATCGTGATCATGCGAATCTATTGAGAAAGTAGCCTAACCTTGCAGCTTAATTTCAGATGCACGACCTATAAAATTTAAAAACGCGTTTATTTAAAATCAACAGCACTAAAGCATAATAAATTGTATTAAATTACTTTTCAGCAACACAATCGGGACAAGTTTTGCTTATCTTGTCTGCGTTTCAAAAGGTAGGTTTTTATTTTCCCTGTGTGGGTTTCTCTGCATTCCACAACGGCTTACCACAATATCATTGGTGTACCTAATAAGTAAGTGAATAATGATAACATGCTTTTTGAAATCGCAACAATAAAAATGTTATACAATTTTATAAGTGCGAATGGAAAGTAAAATGTATTTATACATCAATATTTAAAAAGCACAGCCTTTTAAATATATATATAGTTACAGGAAAACTGAATTAAAGTTGCAAGAGCGTTAAGTTTTAATCTTTACCACTATGAAACAAGATTGAATCTTCAGAATGTTGTTCCTCAACGTTCTGTAGAATTTGGTGATTAAAAGATAATTCAGTTTACCATGCCTTTCTTAATTTTTCGAAAGATAGAAAAGGATTTCCATAGACCTGTGCGGCGGTTTTCTAAGGTGACCAAGGGCCCACGTTCACAATGAATGTACCAACCTTGCTCCTACCCACTAACTCTACGGGGACTTTCCCTGAATGTTATATATTAGATTAATTCCATTTTGATACTATTTCTTATACTTTATAAGTGCACGAAATATATTCCATTATACATGAACTGGCCCTATATTTGCTTTTACGCCTTTTACCAGGGCATTGTCGTATGATTAGTCAGGGGAATTAATTCTCAGGGCGCTCAAGTTAAGTTTTAATAGATTCTAGAATATTGCCCTGCTTACTGGTCATCCAAGGGTAGGCTACCACACAGGGCAAGCGTACTCAACAACAGCAAAATTAACTTTGATACACCTGTACAAGATCTGATGAGGACAGTTTGACACGTTTAAGTTGACGTAGATCCTCTGTGTGCATGTTTTATAGATGCATTCAACATTTCCGAGCTATTTTAAGTTGTTGGTAATGAAAACACCAAATAGTTCAAATTTTGTCTCATATTATTCTTACTCTCCAGACAATGATCAGAATGATTTCATTTGCAGTCTGTTGGATACAACTTGCAGTATCAAATCCACGTGCTTAAAACACAATTGTATCATCCACGAATATGTAGTTTTCTATTACAGCATCACACATGCATCTTTTAATCATGACAGTAAGAAACCTGAAACCATGATTGCGTTTTTTGTGTGGGCCAGTGTTTTCCATTTTAAAAACACCGATTTAAAATGAATCCGTTTTCTTACGTCCTCAAAATTAGAACTACTCTAGTGGAGTGTAATTTTTTTACAGAAGCACTTAATTCATTTTAGAACTACACATAAAAGTAATATTAAATACTCAATTCGTTTATTTTTAGTACAGTTTCAACAAAAGCAGCGCTATGGGTAGAAAACAAAGACCCAAATCGGAGATGGGGAGATCTTGCACTGACGATAGTGATATGAATGATGAGACAAGACAGTCGCGTCATATCCCACGATCCAAATCACGATGTGAACAGCGGAGATCAGGATCCTCAGCACGCATTGGCTACAAGCTTAGAAAAACACAGTCAAGATATAACTTACGGTCAAATTCTGTTATCAACGAACCAGAACCTGTCCTCCCCAAAAGACCTGAGCGGCCAAAGTCTTGTCACCCAATGAAACTGCGTCCTAGATCTGCAGGACCTCATCGTAGTGCACCGCGGCAACGAAATTAAGAGCCCTATTTTTTCTTCGTGACTTCATACAATGAATACTATGTCGTAAATGTTGTAACTTTTCTAGGAACTTACAAACTCGCTGGAATTTTTTTGCAAGATATTTAATTTGTATTTTGCTGAAAAAAGGCAACGATGACAAATGTAATTTTGTTTGTCACGCTCGTCATTCCTTTATAATAGAAGTGCACCTCCCTTTTACCTTTACACTTTGTAGTAGGCATTTCAATAATAAGACAGTCACTTAATGCGAAAATCATGAATCGCTAACTGTTGAGGTGGTAAAAAAACACTTTATTCACTTATAAATCATATAACACCTGAAAATATCTTAAAAAATTGCTTACTCTGGTTGATTTTAATGTATAAACTGCTTTCAAGATGATTTTAAATTTAATCTAAATTCATAAGATCATAATGTATAAAAACGCCAAGAACATTGCATATTTTCGTTGTTGAACCCAGTCCTATATTGAATCATCATATAAAATGAAAAAAGAAAAAAAAATTATTTTAAATCTCTGTTCCATGATTTCAAAGATGAAAATAGCTCCAGACAAATGATAATAATGAAAAAAAAAAAACTGTTCTTTACATGAATCACTCTCCACCTATATGATAATGTTCAGTGCAATTGTAGGTCTTGTAGTAAATGCGGTATGAAAGACTTCAAATGTTAAAACATGTTCATAATAAATTATCAAGCACATAAATCACAACCGTTGCTGCACTGTATTATTGCTCCCTGTTTTTATCACAATTCAGTAAATATATCTTTATTCCTTCCAGACGAACTCAAGACCTGACTTAAAAGTTCCGAGCTTAAGCTGCAATTGAGTACTTCTTTTCTAGACACTGTACTTCCACTCACTGGTGTAAAGGCAGAGTTTACCTGCCCTACTCCATCCTTTCTGGAGCCAGGAACATTTAACCTTGCGGTTGGACTGCCATAATTATGTTGCCCTTTGTCATGTAATCTTGCCATGAGAGGAGTAATTTTTGTTTGTGATGCAGGCGAGTCCTGTACTCTTGCCACTGGACTTGCAAGTATTTGAGATTTTTGAGACTCTTGTGCCCTTAACATCTTAGTTTGTTGTGACCCAAGGACTGAACTTTGTCCATTTTGTTCCTTATTGCCTGGAATATTAGATACCTGGAAATATTCGAGACATTTTTAACTTAAATTGGTGTCAATATTATAGGATAAAAGCTCCTTAACAGAGAGCCAATCTTTTACTAAATTAAACAAAAATAATTTTAAAATCTAAAAGGGATAACAACTGTTCGTAAGTTATCCATATTTCACAATAAATGCATTGTAAACAGCTTATAGAAATATAATAAATTCCATTTTACCACCAAAACGGTGGTTAACGCACTTATTCTGGAATTTGTGCTTGCCATCACATCACGAGACCTCCATAGATGACTACACTCTGTAATTATCTCTGAAGAGAATATTACAAAAAACCAAACTTTTCAGAAAAAAAAACATGGACTAATTTAGAATGTTGGAAGGGATTCATTAACCATTGGTAAGTATGGGAAAAATGCCCTTTACCTCAGGAAAATCCATTTTTTTGGCCAAAATGAACAGTTGTTATCCCTTTAAATATTCAACTATAAACTCTATATAACTCTATATAAGTATTAAGACATATAAGGAAGTGGTCAACAATGCAATTTTTAGGTGCAACATTAATTAGGAAAGCTTTACCTGTTCTACATATGTTGGTCTACTGTTGGTCTCTTGCTGTCTTGACTTTGACTGCATACTGGAATTGCCAGTACAAGTACTTGACTGTGGTATATTAGACATAACAGTCTTGGAGTACCCAGAAGTTGCTTCATCTTGATATCCTTGTATTGCTGACAATCTGTTATTCAAAGGCCCACTTTTGGCATCTCTTGTCCTCATTCTTCCACCATTTTCTTCAAGACTAAAATTAATGAGATGGAAGTAAACCCATTTTATGTTACTAAAACAGCACTTTGATGGTTAGATGACATCAGGTAATTGTGAGATTGCCTTTGCCATTAAAATTTCTTAACATAGCTTCAAAATATTCCTAATTACTACCTCATATTTCATCACTATACAATACCTTAAAAATTTAGTTTTATCTTACCTAGTCCCATTCTTTGGTGTAGATTCCACTGGATACTTGTTGACGTCTTCTTTGGGTTTCAAGCTTACTGCAATGCCTATATTTGACCTGAAAGCAAATATTTGTACAGGATTAACAATGCCATTCAGTTTAATGCCCTAGGGTCATGTAAATACAATAAAAATACAATCCTATTTACAAGGTATCATTTTCGGTTTAAATACACCTTTATGGTTTCCAGTCTTATCAGTACAATTTTATCTGTTATAGATTTATGAGTTATACACACACACATACTTAGGGCTAGAGGATAATTCTTGGTCAATACCAAGCCCAGAGTCATGGTGCTGATGTTTGCCATCACTTGGCTTGGAAAACTAAATAACACAAAAGTAAGAAAAGGTCACGCATTGTACCAAATTGTTGGAATGAATCAGACATCTTATAGCTAATACATTCAAATGAACTGAACCAGTTAAACATTATTTCCTAGGATAAAGAGGTGGTCATTTTCTTTATCCCCAGTGGAACAGTTTTATCATTATTTCAAATCACAACACTATGAAACTGATTTTTACTGGGATGTGTTTGTACCTTATTATTTTTGGAAAGATTGGTGATGTCCTCTAATGGCATAATGGGATATGGGTGAGGTATGTTGTCTGGAGCTAGGGCTGTGAACACTGCAACTGGTTTTGTCTTTACTATTGGAGCCGTGTGAAGCTCTGCTTTCTGTACTGAGGGGGGAGGCTGAACCATTTCTTCTCCATTGTTTTGGTGCCTTTAATGTGCAACTTGTTGTTAAAACAGTATGCGACAATTCTTTTTTTTTTTACATCTTCCACTGGTCGCATACATTTTGTAGATTAAAATCTATTATTTTTTTTACTTATAGATATACTTACTGCCTTAACATATTGCAGAAGAGTTGATAATGCACACTTTGTAAACAAATATCAGCATAGTCACCATGAAACAATAATTATTTTAGTAAAGTCACATACCAAACATATAACATTTATAACATTAAAAGCTGGTTAAAAAAGGCACATAATCTTGAAAGTTTACCCATAAGCATTCTTGTACTGCACTTCTGGCATACTCCTCCTGTTATGCTGTTGTGCGCTGGATGGATATTTTTGCTGTTGTGTGTTGGATGGATATTTTTGCTGTTGTGTATTGGATTGATACATCTGTTGTGTGGTGGGTGGTGGATACATCTGCTGGTGTGCTGGCACAGGTTCTCCACCTGGGATACGACCCATGCCTGCCTCATTTAGATCACTCCTGAAAATGAATACACATGTTGTATTTTATGCATAATAGGCACAACCTATTTAGAGTAAATAACAGTGAGGTACAAACAGCATTATTTAACTTGATAATCAATATCATTTAATAATGCTGTAGTACTAAAATACATACCCATGACTTCTTCTTCTGGGAGATTTATACCTTTGCCTCATATGTGGAGAATACTTGATCTTAAATGGCTCGGCTGAGGTTCTGAAAATACATTTAACCAAAACACTGAAATGAATACTAGGGCAAACAACTTTGTCACAAATAATCTATTTCAAGAACTTCTCACAGAATATTTTCTTAAATCAAATAAAAGTCAACTTTTCTTTTAAAAACAACTAGTAAAATTCATTTCCAAAGAATATGATGAGAAATGATGTTTCTGGTGTACTTACTCAACTTTGGTGTAAGGTATATCTCTCATCTGTTCTTCATTTAATCCTATTGTCTCAGGATCCACAAGATCATACCTTGAACACATAATACATAAGAGAATACATAACTTTTTTTCATATAGAAACAATCATACATGAGCTATCAATTGCAAACAATATCTGTAAGTCAGATCTCAAAACTACTAAATGTAATATATCATAGCCTCATTGCATATAATATTAAGATGGTGTCATAACTGTTCGGATCTACATGATCTAAGCCATGCATCTTTATAAAAAGCTGCATTTGTGTCTACATTGATTGTTATCACTACATTTAACTTACTCAAAATGTTGCCTCAGTTCTTCTGGTGGACGTTTACCTGGTGACCTACTTCTCCTGTAATTAAAAGTTGCCCAAAACATGCTTTCTAGAAAATACAGTCATGCAACTTTTGCATATCACTGGCAAGACTAGCCATAACGAATATCTAAAAATGTGTAAGAATAAAATACATGTATTGTAGGGCACTGCTATTATAAGACAATAGTTTAATTACTTCTAAAATTTTGCTCACAATACCAAAACTTTATTAACTTAATTTAGTTACATTAATTCATCTATTTTCACAAATGTAATAGTGAGTGCCATCTACTGTCACGTTCTCACCTTCTTGTCCTTCTCTTTCTCTTCCCACTATCCTCTGACCCATGATCAGAAGCCAATGATCTGTACAGAAACAACGAAAGAGGCATTTGTCAGAATTTCAAAATAATGTGAGCACAGAGAACATTACTATAACGAATACATTCCTTCAATAAATATAAATTCTATTTTTCAAAGGGTATGAAACATAACTAATTAACCCAATATATAAATTCTATAAAATTAGATTAAATAAATACTTAGTAATTACATAACATACCAGACTGATGACAATGACATAAAATAATGCATTTATTGTATTGAAGCAGACATACTACATAGAATACTAGTTTTTTTTTTTCCATTAAATAAAAGACCTTACTTAGTATGTAAGACTCACCCATTTGATTTCATACTATGGGCCCTGCCTTCTGGAGAGCTGGATAACAATAAAAAAGAAATAAATCTTCAAACGTCTTTTATTGTTTATCTATATAATATCTGTAGTATTGAGCAACATGTTTGTATTAATATCTTTCTACTATTTAAATAATACTCAAAATTAAAAACTCACGCTATCATGTCATTCTTTTCCAGCTTCCTTTGGACCTCTTTCCACTTGGCTTCAGAGCTTAACATATCTTGTCCTGACCTTCTATGCCTATAGCGCCTTTGATGTGATGCTTCAGACTCACTACCACTATTCTCATGTCTAGACCTAGAAAATAATAAAAGATTAAAATGCAGAACTTAATCAAGTTAAAGTTGAGACCATTCTACAATGTTTTAAATGATTAAATACTTTGCATCTATGGATATCACAACCTCATTTTCTTTAAAATTAAATACAGCCTTCTAGCCTACCTGCGACGCCTCCTCCTCTCTTGGTCACTTTCATTATCAGACTTCCTACTGTGGTGCCCCCTTCTCCTATGGTGATAGCTGGCTTCACTTTCACTGCCAGACTCTCTGGACCTCCTGGGTCCTGGAAACTTCATCTTCTCACTTCGTGTAGACATAGGAGAGTCACGTCCTGTGGTATACATACCACTGAAATAAAAATTGTAAATAATCAATTAACATAAGAATGCTGAAGTTTTTTTTTTTTTTTTTTTTTTTTAGATAAAACAAAAAAAAAAATAATAATAATAAAATAAAAACAAGAGGATTTCATATTATTATAAAGGGAGGGGGAGGGGGGTTTGGAATGAAACGCATCCCTTTTCATCTCTCAGATAGTTTAGTGCTGGTTTCCAGAAGTAAATTTGAACACTGTGACTAGATAGTATCTACAGTGCAATGAAATAAGACTAAGATAAGATTACCCTTTAACAGAATTTCCCATCTCCCATGGAGCTGATCTAGTGCTTCTTGGGGAGTCTGCAGCATTTGAATGGCCTTGCCTATGACTGAAAATCAGAAAACATACATAAAAAGATGCATCCTCTCTCCGGAAATGTTAAATAAATTGCTCTTTTCTTCACCTATATGGTAAGATTTACAAAAGTATCATTGACAGTTTTACCTTCTTTCTGATTTTGGTTGAACAACAGTGGTGACCATTCCGTCCGGGTAGTCCAAGAACCCACCATCATCATTACCCACAATTCCTACAAGAAGATAAAGAGTGTCAAATCTTACAATAAATAAAAATAATTTCTTTTATGAACCCAGGTTTTTTAAGGGTTAAATGTGATTGCCAAGGTTTAAGGATAGGACACATGTAAAACATGAATTAGACAACAATAAAAATATTCTGAACAACAAACCATTTGATATTGGGACATCTGAAGCTGTTCTTCTCTGCTGCCTGCGTGAAGGGGTCCTAAGAACATGTGGCTGTGGGCGTGATGCAGGTTCTTGAGAGGACTGTTTCTCTGATCTGCCACTGAAAATAAAATGTGTAACTTAAGCAGTAACAACCATCTTTCAAATGGATCTGGGTATGTTCCTAATGTTGACTTACAAGTTTTCATACACAGTAACCTAAACAATATTTTTTAATTCGTGAATGACTTTTACATATTACGTATTTATTGTGGAAGTTAATGTTTGATGAATGTAACTTTTGAACGAAAACAGAAGTGGTATATGAAGGTCAATCCCACTAAGATGCAAGTTTATCTAACCTGTATCTGTTCTTTGAACCTAGGCTGAAAAGTTTTCCTGTGGAAACAGTCTCTGTAGCTTGATGCATCCTATAAAATTTTACAAAGAAATTACATCATCAAATCACCCTTTATTTTGTCTTATTTCATCTGTCTGGGAGATGGAGTGAAGATTAATTTCATCCCTTATGACGCTGGATAAAATTAACTTGGTGTTATGATCAAATACTGAAAATATAAAAGACCCTAGTCTAGCTCCAAATGATCTTGTGAACATTACTGTTACAACCTAATCTTACCTGAAGAAAGCATGGTGCTCCACAGCACATTTCCATAAATGTTTACATGCTGGCCTTGTTGCAAGTTCAAATCCATAGGTACTTTCATCATTCTAAAAAATATGAATAAATCAAAAAAAAAAAAAAAATGAACTTGTAAGATTTTTTTGTCATCATCTTATAAATGAAGGCAACAGATAAATCATTCTCAGCAGATGTCTGTGCACAGTATGCATTATAAGTGAACATATCTGAAAATAGCTCAGAAGTTCTAATACATACATCTCTGTCACAGACACAGCATGTTACTACTTTCAGAACATGCATCAGTTCACAAGTGACCTGGATTTTCACACATGTGGTTAAACATTAGGCGCATAATGTACACATTTTACTTCAGAATGTATGATGTGTTTTCTAAAGCAATTTATTGCACAAAGAGTTGAAACCTCCAATGTATAAAATGTTTAAAACTTATGGGCAACTGAAAGGCCAACTTGTCAATAGAATTTATTAAAATTTAAATAACCAAGAGATAACAANTACCATTCAGTTTAATGCCCTAGGGTCATGTAAATACAATAAAAATACAATCCTATTTACAAGGTATCATTTTCGGTTTAAATACACCTTTATGGTTTCCAGTCTTATCAGTACAATTTTATCTGTTATAGATTTATGAGTTATACACACACACATACTTAGGGCTAGAGGATAATTCTTGGTCAATACCAAGCCCAGAGTCATGGTGCTGATGTTTGCCATCACTTGGCTTGGAAAACTAAATAACACAAAAGTAAGAAAAGGTCACGCATTGTACCAAATTGTTGGAATGAATCAGACATCTTATAGCTAATACATTCAAATGAACTGAACCAGTTAAACATTATTTCCTAGGATAAAGAGGTGGTCATTTTCTTTATCCCCAGTGGAACAGTTTTATCATTATTTCAAATCACAACACTATGAAACTGATTTTTACTGGGATGTGTTTGTACCTTATTATTTTTGGAAAGATTGGTGATGTCCTCTAATGGCATAATGGGATATGGGTGAGGTATGTTGTCTGGAGCTAGCGCTGTGAACACTGCAACTGGTTTTGTCTTTACTATTGGAGCCGTGTGAAGCTCTGCTTTCTGTACTGAGGGGGGAGGCTGAACCATTTCTTCTCCATTGTTTTGGTGCCTTTAATGTGCAACTTGTTGTTAAAACAGTATGCGACAATTCTCCATTACCCAGTATGCACNTCATGGTGCTGATGTTTGCCATCACTTGGCTTGGAAAACTAAATAACACAAAAGTAAGAAAAGGTCACGCATTGTACCAAATTGTTGGAATGAATCAGACATCTTATAGCTAATACATTCAAATGAACTGAACCAGTTAAACATTATTTCCTAGGATAAAGAGGTGGTCATTTTCTTTATCCCCAGTGGAACAGTTTTATCATTATTTCAAATCACAACACTATGAAACTGATTTTTACTGGGATGTGTTTGTACCTTATTATTTTTGGAAAGATTGGTGATGTCCTCTAATGGCATAATGGGATATGGGTGAGGTATGTTGTCTGGAGCTAGGGCTGTGAACACTGCAACTGGTTTTGTCTTTACTATTGGAGCCGTGTGAAGCTCTGCTTTCTGTACTGAGGGGGGAGGCTGAACCATTTCTTCTCCATTGTTTTGGTGCCTTTAATGTGCAACTTGTTGTTAAAACAGTATGCGACAATTCTTTTTTTTTTTACATCTTCCACTGGTCGCATACATTTTGTAGATTAAAATCTATTATTTTTTTTACTTATAGATATACTTACTGCCTTAACATATTGCAGAAGAGTTGATAATGCACACTTTGTAAACAAATATCAGCATAGTCACCATGAAACAATAATTATTTTAGTAAAGTCACATACCAAACATATAACATTTATAACATTAAAAGCTGGTTAAAAAAGGCACATAATCTTGAAAGTTTACCCATAAGCATTCTTGTACTGCACTTCTGGCATACTCCTCCTGTTATGCTGTTGTGCGCTGGATGGATATTTTTGCTGTTGTGTGTTGGATGGATATTTTTGCTGTTGTGTATTGGATTGATACATCTGTTGTGTGGTGGGTGGTGGATACATCTGCTGGTGTGCTGGCACAGGTTCTCCACCTGGGATACGACCCATGCCTGCCTCATTTAGATCACTCCTGAAAATGAATACACATGTTGTATTTTATGCATAATAGGCACAACCTATTTAGAGTAATAACAGTGAGGTACAAACACAAAGGATTATTTAACTTGATAATCAATATCATTTAATAACGCTGTAGTACTAAAATACATACCCATGACTTCTTCTTCTGGGAGATTTATACCTTTGCCTCATATGTGGGGAATACTTGATCTTAAATGGCTCGGCTGAGGTTCTGAAAATACATTTAACCAAAACACTGAAATGAATACTAGGGCAAACAACTTTGTCACAAATAATCTATTTCAAGAACTTCTCACAGAATATTTTCTTAAATCAAATAAAAGTCAACTTTTCTTTTTAAAAACAACTAGTAAAATTCATTTCCAAAGAATATGATGAGAAATGATGTTTCTGGTGTACTTACTCAACTTTGGTGTAAGGTATATCTCTCATCTGTTCTTCATTTAATCCTATTGTCTCAGGATCCACAAGATCATACCTTGAACACAAAATACATAAGAGAACACATAACTTTTTTTCATATAAAAACAATCATACATGAGCTATCAATTGCAAACAATATCTGTAAGTCAGATCTCAAAACTACTAAATGTAATATATCATAGCCTCATTGCATATAATATTAAGATGGTGTCATAACTGTTCGAATCTACATGATCTAAGCCATGCATCTTTATAAAAAGCTGCATTTGTGTCTACATTGATTGTTATCACTACATTTAACTTACTCAAAATGTTGCCTCAGTTCTTCTGGTGGACGTTTACCTGGTGACCTACTTCTCCTGTAATTAAAAGTTGCCCAAAACATGTTTTCTAGAAAATACAGTCATGCAACTTTTGCATATCACTGGCAAGACTAGCCATAACGAATATCTTAAAACGTGTAAGAATAAAATACATGTATTGTAGGGCACTGCTATTATAAGACAATGGTTTAATTACTTCTAAAATTTTGCTCACAATACCAAAACTTTATTAACTTAATTTAGTTACATTAATTCATCTATTTTCACAAATGTAATAGTGAGTGCCATCTATTGTCACATGTTCTCACCTTCTTGTCCTTCTCTTTCTCTTCCCACTATCCTCTGACCCATGATCAGAAGCCAATGATCTGTACAGAAACAACGAAAGAGGCATTTGTCAGAATTTCAAAATAATGTGAGCACAGAGAACATTACCATAACTAATACATTCCTTCAATAAATGTAAATTCTATTTTTCAAAGGGTATGAAACATAACTAATTAACCCAATATATAAATTCTATAAAATTAGATTAAATAAATACTTAGTAATTGCATAACATACCAGACTGATGACAAGGACATAAAATAATGCATTTATTGTATTGAAGCAGACATACTACATAGAATACTAGATTTTTTTTTTCATTAAATAAAAGACCTTACTTAGTATGTAAGACTCACCCATTTGATTTCATACTATGGGCCCTGCCTTCTGGAGAGCTGGATAACAATAAAAAAGAAATAAATCTTCAAACGTCTTTTATTGTTTATCTATATAATATCTGTAGTATTGAGCAACATGTTTGTATAAATATCTTTCTTAAATAATACTTCAAATTAAAAACTCACGCTATCATGTCATTCTTTTCCAGCTTCCTTTGGACCTCTTTCCACTTGGCTTCAGAGCTTAACATATCTTGACCTGACCTTCTATGCCTATAGCGCCTTTGATGTGATGCTTCAGACTCACTACCACTATTCTCATGTCTAGACCTAGAAAATAATAAAAGATTAAAATGCAGAACTTAAGTTAAAGTTGAGACCATTCTACAATGTTTTAAATGATTAAATACTTTGAATGCATCTATGGATATCACAACTTCATTTTCTTTAAAATTAAATACAGCCTTCTAGCCTACCTGCGACGCCTCCTCCTCTCTTGGTCACTTTCATTATCAGACTTCCTACTGTGGTGCCCCCTTCTCCTATGGTGATAGCTGGCTTCACTTTCACTGCCAGACTCTCTGGACCTCCTGGGTCCTGGAAACTTCATCTTCTCACTTCGTGTAGACATAGGAGAGTCACGTCCTGTGGTATACATACCACTGAAATAAAAATTGTAAATAATGAATTAACATAAGAATGCTGAAGTTTTTTTTTTTTTTTTTTAGATAAAACAAAAAATAATAATCAAATAAAAACAAGAGGATTTCATATTATTATAAAGGGAGGGGGAGGGGGGTTTGGAATGAAACACATCCCTTTTCATCTCTCAGGTAGTTTAGTGCTGGTTTCCAGAACTAAATTTGAATACTATGACTAGATGGTATCTACAGTGCAATGAAATAAGACTAAGATAAGATTACCCTTTAACAGAATTTCCCATCTCCCATGGAGCTGATCTAGTGCTTCTTGGGGAGTCTGCAGCATTTGAATGGCCTTGCCTATGACTGAAAATCAGAAAACATACATAAAAAGATGCATCCTCTCTCTGGAAATGTTAAATAAATTGCTCTTTTCTTCACCTATATGGTAAGATTTACAAAAGTATCATTGACAGTTTTACCTTCTTTCTGATTTTGGTTGAACAACAGTGGTGACCATTCCGTCCGGGTAGTCCAAGAACCCACCATCGTCATTACCCACAATTCCTACAAGAAGATAAAGAGTGTCAAATCTTACAATAAATAAAAATAATTTCTTTTATGAACCCAGGTTTTTTAAGGGTTAAATGTGATTGCCAAGGTTTAAGGATAGGACACATGTAAAACATGAATTAGACAGCAATTAAAATATTCCGAACAACAAACCATTTGATATTGGGACATCTGAAGCTGTTCTTCTCTGCTGCCTGCGTGAAGGGGTCCTAAGAACATGTGGCTGTGGGCGTGATGCAGGTTCTTGAGAGGACTGTTTCTCTGATCTGCCACTGAAAATAAAATGTGTAACTTAAGCAGTAACAACCATCTTTCCAATGGATCTTGGTATGTTCCTAATGTTGACTTACAAGATTTCATACACAGTAACCTTAACAATATTTTTAAATTCATGAATAACTTTTACATATTACATGTTTATTGTGGAAGTCAATGTTTGATGAATGTAACTTTTGAAAGAAAACAGAAGTGGTATATAAAGGTCAATCCCACTAAGATGCAAGTTTATCTAACCTGTATCTGTTCTTTGATCCTAGGCTGAAAAGTTTTCCTGTAGAAACAGTCTCTGTGGCTTGATGCATCCTATAAAATTTTACAAAGAAATTACATCATCAAATCACCCTTTATTTTGTCTTATTTCATTTTTCTGGGAGATGGAGTGAAGATAAATTTCATCCCTTACGACGCTGGATAAAATTAACTTGGTGTTATGATCAAATACTGAAAATATAAAAGACCCTAGTCTAGCTCCAAATGATTTTGTGAACATTACTGTTACAACCTAATCTTACCTGAAGAAAGCATGGTGCTCCACAGCACATTTCCATAAATGTTTACATGCTGGCCTTGTTGCAAGTTCAAATCCATAGGTACTTTCATCATTCTAAAAAATATGAATAAATAAAAAAAATCAACTTTTAAGAATTTTTTTGTCATCATCTTATAAATGAAGGCAACAGATAAATCATTCTCAGTAGATGTCTGTGCACAGTATGCATTATAAGTGAACATATCTGAAAATAGCTCAGAAGTTCTAATACATACATCTCTGTCACAGACACAGCATGTTACTACTTTCAGAACATGCATCAGTTCACATTGACCTGGATTTTCACACATGTGGTTAAACATTAGGCGCATAATGCACACATTTTACTTCAGAATGTATGATGTGTTTTCTAAAGCAATTTATTGCACAAAGAGTTGAAACCTCCTATGTATAAAATGTTTAAAACTTATGGGCAACTGAAAGGCCAACTTGTCAAAAGAATTTATTAAAATTTAAATAACCAAGAGATAAAAATGTGAATATCAACTTACATTTTTGTCCTTTACCCTGATATGAAATGTTTTCCCTTTGAAACTGACTTTTGATATCCTTGGCCTAAAACAATAACAAAAATTTCAACAACAACAAATAAAATTTTACACCTATATGATATGATGCATATAACCAAAAATAATCCAACACATTTACTCACATACACAACTTTTTCAACACCTATGTCACTGCCACATTTCTACTATAGATTGTAGTGTGCAATTAAGTAACATGAGGGGCATTTCATAGCTTAACTTTTTAACTTCAGAAACTTAAAGAAGATATTGCACCACTGTGTCAAAAGTCCAAGTCACTAAACAGTAATAAATCTCCTTCAACACTTACCAGAAGTAGTTACCAGCCTTTGATTTATTTCTGAACACAACTATTCCAGTGGGTGTGAGTCCAACAAAATATTCTAAATTGCCCTCTCCCTTAAAAAACAGTTTGTATTCATTATTATAACATGTAAGGCCACAATATATGTTCTGTGAAACTGGTAAAAAACTACAGTGATGTGGTGCTAATTTAATTGATAAATATGTCTTGCATGTTTACTGACCCACTCAACACATGTTCTGTACCAAGTTGACCCAAAGGAAAATGAAAGACATGTTTACATTTGGCACCAACAGTGACAAATGTGACAAATTTAAAACATTTGCCGGTTACACATGCAGACATGTTCCCAAGACTAAAATCTTAATTGCTGCTGTATGCAGACTGCTGTAAACCCTGACCTGTTTCAAACATGTACTTGAAATAAAGAGTAAGTCACCATTCAATCTGGCCTTACCAAAACTGGGTGGAGGTCAGTTCCATACATTTCCAACCATTTCACTTTGTCGAGAAACATGTATTCTGCAACTGCTGGCACTTGACCACTGTAATCAAAGCATTAATTAGTATAGCTAAAACAGAAATCTATATAATATATATATATATAATAAATCATTATTGACAAAGCTTCTACTTCTAATCTTCTTTTAATCTTCTTAAAAATTCAGCAATTTGTAATTATATATTTTTTTCATCATATTTCATAAGGTTTTGAAATTTTTGCATTAGATTTTCTATGAAACAATTCTCTTAAACTACTTCTTTAAAATGTCAAACATCTTTTCCTGTTTGTTAACCATGTCATACAAAAAACCTTTTATTTTATTCAGAAGGTTTATAAACTTGATACTTGAATTAAACAGCTTTTGCATGAAAATGGTACACACAAAATTAAATGAGAGTGTCAATGAAATATGTCAATGATACAAGTACTGTGGAAGTGTAGGTAAAACCTTGTAATACAAATGATAGTATTATATGTGATATATTATTACATGAATAAAAAAATATAACTTCACATACGCAAGTGTCTTATGGATCCTGGCTATCCTGTCTTCTAGTTCTTCTGTTTGATTTGGTACAAAGCGGAATTCAGACACATAACCTTTCAAATGTCTTTTGGGATCAAAATCACCCAACTCAGCTGCAATTAAACATTATTCATATATCAAGTCATGAAACCATCTTTTCTAATATGAAAGAGCATCATGATAGAGGCTAAGCTTCTGTGATATAAAAATAATTCTATTATAATTAAAGATAACTCTATATAAATGTTTAAAACTAAATATTTCTTCACACATCAGCTCTTTTATATGTTAAATCCATATGAACCATGAAGTAGTTAGCAGTTAACTTTTCTTTTTTACTTCTTTGCATGAATGCTTTTTGCTTACATTGTACTGCAAAAGCACATAGCTCTGCTGCGATATCAAAAGGAATAGGCATACGTCCCTGCAATGCATCTTTCTTCACTTGTAGAAAAAACTGGTATCTGAAAAAAAAATCCCTAACTAAAACTACAATATCATAATTAGCTTCAAAGGTAACTTTTTTTCCTATATAGTGTATCACAAGGTGGTTACCACTTTATAACTTGAAATTAGTGACAGGATCTCATTCATTTTGAAATATGGCTCAATTCATGAAAACCACATATAAGGCAATTGTCAGCAATCTTTAATTTGGGACACCAAAAACCTACACCCTCCACACTTTATCCATTTTTTAATCATTTAACATATTTTCACAACAAGCAAAAATAAATGACTAATTGATGGTCAATTTCAAATCAGACTTCAAGCACGATACCCAAATTTTCACATACTACTATTAACACCATTTAGTCCTAAAAAGCCATTTTACATTTTAAGACATAACTGTAGCCTCTACACCTTCAGACTGATGAAAATGGCATTTCATTCTTTAGACCATTAATGTCTAACCAAATCACCATGTATACTTGCATAGAATACTAATCAGAAGTTCACATTTAGTCATCCATATTTTAGACATGAATTGTAATTTCCAAAGTGTCTAGATACAAATAAATTGCAAAAAATACTGCATACTGAGAATAACAATTTAGCTATGCACTATTTAGTTTGATCTCTTTTATTACAATTATTTGAGTGTTTGGTCTTTTAAAGAACCTGCAAAAACTATACCTAGTAATTTCTTCATGAAGCTTGCATGGATCTGCAGCATAAAATTTAACTCCAAAATACAATGTATGGGGGGCACCAGCTGTAAAGAAAAAGCATGATAAACAATAAAATCTGATTAAACCCCGAGGACGCAGATGGGAGACACTCATTCAGACTAATAATTTAACCAAACCAACTGTGTAAACACATGTCACAACATCAATCTAATGGCCATGTTATCCTTCAAGACAGCAACAGCTACCATTCATTTTACCACCTTTTTTAATGTCAAAGGCAAGTTAATTTTGAGGTCAAGAACANAACTCAACCTGCGTTTTAGTAAGACTGACCATACCTGTGAGTTTCATGACAATAGGCCTAACGGTTTTCCTTAAAATGTGTTTACAAGGTTGCATATATGCTGAAAAGTGAAAAAACAGCATAACTTCTACAGTAATGGCCCGATCATGCTGATTTTCGAACTTGACCTGCATTTTATGAATATTCATCAGCTCTGTAAATATAAAGCCAAAAAGTAAAACTGCCTTCCACTTATCGTGTTTACAAGGAAAGTGCACGGCGACGGCATCGGCATCGGCATCGCCATCGGCATCGGCATCGGCGACGACAGACGCAGGTGATGGCAATATGTACAGACACATCTGTGTCTGTACATAAAAATAAATTTCCACTATTCAGTTTTTTTTTTTTTTTGCCTTGCCTTCCATTGTATTTAGCATACTTTTATGTTTAAATCCACATCTAGCAGCAATACCTTCTGACATTTCACTGTTTAGTGTAAGTATTTCAATATATGGATACTTTTAACCAGCCATACATACCATAGGAAAAACATGTTTTAAACAATATTCAGGGAGCTGATACAATTTCTCACTGATGGGCCAGGGTTTTTTTTTTTTTTTACATGACCTCACAGTTATCTAATAATGACTTTAAATGTGTTGCAAAACTTTTCATCTGCATCAAAGGGACATATTACTAAAAGCTTTTTAAATCAATGTTACAATAGTACAATTCAGTCCAGAGGACAATTTGCTGACACCTATTGGTGTTAACAAGGAATAATTGTTTACAAAAAAATGACAAAAGTCCTTTCGTAAATAATTTGTGAGCTGCCTTAAAAAGCCTACTATGTAAAGAAATGACAAGAAAACAACACATGTTCTATGCCATCCAACTGCGTTTTCTGTAAACATAAAATGGCAGACTGCACTTAAATAACAAGCATCTTGAAATTGGATCTTGAGTGACACGGTCACTTATTAGTTCAGGTATCACTAAAGCATTATCTCTAGCATTTGTTTTGTTCCCTTTTTCTACTTCCTTAGAAACAAGATCACTCATCTAAAAGAGCCTGCAGATATATACCATACTTTATGTCCACAAGTAGAAACTGGATAATGACTCTATTTACCCTCAAATTCTTCTTAAAATAATCTGAAAAGGTCCCTTTTTAATCCATATTCCTAAAACAGACATTTTTATTTCCATAACCCCATCTGAAACAGCTTACACGCTATGTGGCACAGGCAGGGATACTTACTGTTTGGTTTGAGTCATCTAAATAACGGAGGCCAAAATAGTCTGTTTCCAACAAATTCAGATGCTCAAACACTCTGGTCAACAGAATTTGGCCCTTGCAACTAGCCTAGAAACAAAATAAATTTGTATATTATATCCTAAGTTACAAATAATAAAATTACAGCTTACAAATCAAAAGTAATTATTTTTAAATGCATATTTATAAAATGATTCATCTTAATCATGCCAATAAATCAGCAAGTCTGGTTTCAAACTTGGACAAGTTAAACATTTTATTTGTCCAAGTTTGAATCTACCATTCATTTACAACCAAATTAAAACACCTATCAATGTTTTATAATTTTTTCAAGATTTGACACACAAGGTAAATTATATGACAATATTTTTCCAACAATGCCAATAAATTAAGCATACTATACCAAACAATATGAATAAATATAGCATACTACATTAAGTTAGGAGCTTTTGGTGCATAATAATAGTTGACCATGTTTAAAAGATTGCTAGCATATTTAAATAGAGAACATATCGTTTCCACACATCTTAGTCAAATTCAGGTAGGGAATTGAAAATGACAACTAAATGTGAACAAATTCCTGTACCTCCGATTTACAAATGAAATTAGTTAAATACATTTCTTAACTTTAAGACCTAACAATTTAGAGAACTTTGATCCAAGCAAAATCTGTAATAGTCCACTAGGATAAAACAACCAATTGTTGGTCTAAAACAAACGTTTCTGAATTTTTGTCAATCAGGCCTAATACCCTCATTCAAGTAGACATGGCTTTGATTTATCCCTAGTTTTTGCAAACTTAAATGTTCAGAGAGTGAAAACAAACTTTCAGCTTAATTTTGAGAAGTGGGGCCCTTGCAGCAGCACCTGTGTAAGTGCTACAAGTCAATATATACATGAATTATAACCGGATTTTTACACTTTAGACACTATGGGTTAGAGACATCAGGGAACAGAAATACATTTTCTTGCCTGTTGATACATTTGACCATACAAGGGAAAATAACTGTGATTTAACAAAGATCACAAATGCATATTATTATCTTTGAGAAGGAATGAAGGTGTGCATTATGTTGACCATTCATATTTCCGGATAACATAAAACTCTTAGAGTAAAGTCTCAGTTGGTAAAAGGAATTATAATGAATATATCAAATATCATCAATACATCCACTACTTGGGCTTCAGCACAAATTACTAGGACAATAATATCCCAGACTCAACTTATTACCTATCCAACATTATTCAAAGCACATTCCACCACAAAGAATCACAACTCCGCAGGCCGACCACATTCACCTGATGTTTTTGTAGCATATTCAGGGGTGAAGGGAAGCAGTCATGTTGAAAAAATCATTGTAACATGCAATAGTTATGTACTTACCCTACATGATTTTGTTGAATATTTACTTAATCGTATCAAAAAGTTGCAGGATTTGGGTGTTACTACAAATCTGCCTATGGGCACCCAACTGTGATTAATCATAAACTTAGATTTTCAAGATATGGCAGCATGCATGGACTTCTATGGGTTTATCAGAAGCAATAATTTGATACTTGTAGTGTATGAAAATAAGCCCAAAATCAAGGCATTCAATATTTCTTTCCATCTCCTATAAATTCAACCATGGAACACAAATCCCTTAAAGATACATTTAAAATTGTTATTTATCTAAAAGCATCTTGTAATGATAGTTTCCAGACATTAATCAAATGGATTGATAAGGTGGCTATTGAAAAGATATGACTACGGACTTGCATCTCTCATAGTCAAATTAGTTGGCTTGGAATTTGTGTCATGTTTGCCAGCAGTCACAGTAATCTAAAGTAATTAACACATTTCTCATGAATTGTTTGATAAAGCAGTAAACTTGTATGCACATTTATCAATGTTAACTTGGCAAAATAAAAACAAGAGCAGTGGTTTTAGATTCATTCACCTGCCTCATCTGCAGTAAAAAAAGATATAAGATTTCATAGGTCAACCCTTTGGTAACCTAATATTCCACTATTCACAATATATTTAACCATTTCAAAGGATTTCTACCTGAAGAATCATTGTGCTTTATGTGCCAAGGCATTACTGCTGACAGGCCGACTAAATAATGATAGACTATCCATTATGTTAACATTGTGATGTGATAATCTGAAAAGACATCCTTACATGAAGTTAGAATTGATGTTAACTCCCATAAAAGCTGAATTTCACAAGCTATAAACACATATGATTAAAATACACTAATGCCATCACCCCATATTGCCATCTTACAATACTTCATCTAAACAGTTCCCTTACCGCCAATTCTGCAACTGCAGTGCTATTATCTGTCCATTATCTATAACTTTATAAGAACTGTTAAGGTACATTATTGAAAAGAGGTGTGTCTATTCACTCTCAGGACAACATTTTTAAATTTACTGTTGTGATAATATCCTTTAACTTTTTTTTACCCCACAGGTAATGTGCGTGTTATGAGAAACCTTCCTTTGTGAAATATATATAGCTCTAGAGAAAGACTTACAAAACCACTGACATCATGATCCATGAATAACATATCAAAACTTGTTTAATTCCGCCATTCAACTCTAAGCTGCAACAGTGGGAGGCACACATCATGTCTTTTTTGAAAAATGAACCTTCTCAATTCACTGCTCAACCACCAGAATGTGATACAGAAAGACATACTGGCTTATCAGTCTTCACATACAACTATGGTAGGAAGTCAGAACTATACCTGAATCATGGTATGTTAACTCAGATAAAGAACACCTGCTATTAGGGTCTTGCAGAGCACGACAATAATAGTATGTACAAAACGATCTAAACTGCAGGCTTAAAGTTTTTTTTTATTATTATTCTTGAGTTATACAATGTAACTGTTTTTGCAATTGATTTAAGATAAAACAATTTCATTATATGAAATCCCAAAAAATCTCTCAAAGCTCTACAGGGACAGCGAGCTGTACCTAGTGCATTCAAATAAAATGTCTCTACAAATATTGCTCTTTCCTATTCTGTAGTTTATCCAGCATCTGCAAAAGCAGATAAAGTAAATAGTAGGAATTGACTTTAAACATTTGATTATGGTATGTCAACTCTATGGATATATGGGTGTGCTATTGATTACCAAGCAAAACAGGAGAGGCTGGACATAATAAGAGAACGACAGGATTAGGTGTGTTCAAACATAGCATTATATAACTAACTGAAAATACTTTTTCTCAATGACACAGTACGTGGAGTTTGCTCTGCCCTCATTCTGCACATCTTTAAATACTAATTAGCCAGAGATCAATAAAAATAATTAATGTCCTTAATTGGTTCTCATTATCATGTTTAGCACATTAGCAACAGATTGCATTGACTTGGCCTCCCTAAAAAGAAACTGCATACCCCTCTGCAGTGTGTAAATCTATGAAATAAATAGTGCAATCATTTTTCATAACTATATTTATTTTTTGCTTTTCACATAAATGAGGCAACAGAAAGAAGCATTACAGCAGTAAATCAATGTCTAGACAGGAAGCAAATTTGCCTTGAAGTAAGACAAAAGAATAATACACTTGCTCATATCTCAAAACAGTATTTTTTTCTAATAGAAAAAAGACTAAAGCCCAATCGCTAATTGGGTGGAAAACCTAGTCAAGAAGATGGAAGGTCATAGGTTTGATTCCAGTAGAGTTGTATGGGCAGACTGAATGCTCCATATGTATTCATGACATATTCAACCTAAAATAAACAGTGCATATAAACAGGGCACATAAACCTTACTTGCCAGTCACTTGTCACATAAGACGCAAACAGATTTTCTTTGGATAAATTATACCAGGATGATCCATACAAAACAAAATGGACCATAATTATTTTAAATTTCATATTACATTTAAAACCTAGCTACAACAAAGTAAAAGAGCGCGAGCCAGTTACTTATAGTAACTTATAGTAACTGGCTCGCGCTGCCAGTAATTACGCCGCGGGACATTCAGGGCACAGACCGTGATCACAAGATATACCGCGAATAGAAAATAGATTTTTAGAAAATAGACTTTCCATGTGAACCATGCCAAAGTGTTTATCAAACAAGAGATTCTTAATAATACTAGGTATGGTCTGTAGATCTGTTTTAATCTGCATGTAGCACTTGGTAATACAAGAGATCTAGTGGGTTATGTAGAAATTTTTAATTATCATTATACTAGTACTTCATTAATATGGCCATCCAATGACTACTCAAAGCTAAACAGCTATCTGGTTTTCAGGCTAAACAGCTATCTTGTTTAACAAGAACTTGATAAACACACGAGCTGATATCTTACAAAACTAAGTCGGATATAACACCAAGTTATCTGATCCTAAAATTAAAATGCTTACACACTTAAAAAACATTCAAAACTAGCTGATGATAATGATGTGAATGGCAAACCCATATGATGATGTATTTTAATTACACCGAGCTTTTGTATGAAGAGAACAACATTAATCACAACACATGACCACTGTTGGCTAAAATCACCTAAAATGAACACATCTTTAGATGTTGATTTCACCATAAACCGAAACCCACCTCTGATTCTGATTTCTTTACTGTATTTCCTAAGGTATAACCTTGGTGAAATAACTTCTCTACTCTGACAGCGATTTTAAGCAGGTGGGTTAGTCGTGATATAAGTACCGATTGGTCCGAGAAGAAAGACGTGGATACCCACCTTCAATTCATATCTAACTTGTGTATCGTCCAATAACAGGACATCACAAATACATTCCTTTGATTTATCACCTAAGCAAGGCATGTCTTTGTTTGGTCCGGCTGCAGCTCGATCCTTATTACTCCGAAACAAATTGATTAGTTTTGTAAAGTTCGGCATTTTGACATTCCCACACTGACGGCCCCTCTACACAGTCAAGTATCTGTCTACAAATGATGGATCCCTCTAGGGGACGACCACTTTTCGGCGCCATCTGGTGTTAATGTTTCACGAGAGTTTAAATTTTGTCCAACTGGGTTGATTCCATTTAGTCACGAGAGCGTGAAAAATGCAAATGAAAGCAGAGAACTGTCTTAGATGATTGAACCTTCTGCTCTTCGCTTTGAATGTCGGGACGGCAGCTGGCGCACGCACCTGTCACACTTCCGCAGAATAAGCGCCCTCTTTAGCAGGCAACATCCAAGATGGTGGGTAGTATACTAAGATCACTTCTGAAAATCCTTTTCAATCAGCTGCAAACCTCCACATCGAAATCATTTCCATAAATAATTATATATCCCATTGTCTTTCACACATAATTGAACGTAGATTTTGTTCTTACGTGTTACCTGGATGCCTAGATTTAACTCATTACATTACGCGGCATTGGATATTTTAATGTTTATTATTTATAACATCAGGATTACAACAAATGCAGAAGATCACTGAATGTATAAACGTGCTGTTGATGTACAGGAAACGATTTATGTGAGAATCGAAATGATTCGTTCGACTGACAAGATGTTACATGCATATACAATCTTGTAAACAACCCATGTTGTGCCTGGTCATAAACCCTTAGTCTGAAAACTTGCGATTGCTAGTGCAGCATTTGGACCAAAGTATAGATTTGTAGCATAATCTTCCAATTCAGAGCTGGATTTCATGGTTTAAAATTAGCTCAACCTACAGGCATTTAAAAGTGCTCTTTGTGGTATGTACCCATCAAAATGATTTTTCACGGAATTTTCCTGATGCTGCTTCAGCAATGCCTGGGATGATTCAATATACATGGAACTCATTAAAAAATGCATCATAGAGACATCAAATCAGTGTTTCTTAAATTTTTATTATATTAGCTTCCATGACATGTAATCTTGTCTCAGTTTTTTTTTCTCAGTAATAAATCATCATATTTATGGTTTCCATTTATATTGAGACACCCTGTATAAAACACAGTATCACAAATGACATACATGCAACGGGTCAAAAAACTAGTATTATAAGCAGTAAGTGATAAACCACCACTGTCTTTGACTTGACTATAGATATTTCTAAAGGGATTAAACCCTTAGCGTTAGCATCACTCACAATTTCAGGCGGATGAAGTAAATCTAGCAGAGTTGGCTGAGAAGAAGAAGAAGCGTACCTTTAAGAAGTATGCCTACAGAGGTGTAGATTTGGAACTGCTGCTTGATATGTCCAGGTAATACTTCGTTGATTGGTTCAGTAATACAGAGATCCTTGAAATTATATCCATTAAAAATCGGACTTAGCTGCCCTGGCTTGAAAATCATACACATTGAAATTGTGGATAATTCCTCCTCTGCAGACGTGTAAGCTAGTTATAGGTCATAATTTTTTCAAAATATATTCAAATTCACTAAAACAAGATGCTGCAATTCTTGACGCTTAGTAAATTTGGCCTTGTCCTAATATTCCAGGTACCTTACATTGACATATTCAGTAACATGAATGTGAGCTATTTATTAATCATTTACTCCTGTTTATTTTCTATTATTTGCTTGTAGTGAACAGTTGATGGAACTGTTCAAATGCCGTGCCCGCCGGCGTTTCTCCAGAGGTCTGAAGCGTAAACCCATGGCCCTGATCAAGCGTCTTCGCAAGGCTAAAAAAGAAGCACCACCAATGGAGAAACCAGAGGTGATCATTTATTTATTTATTTATTTTTTTAATATTATATTTAAAAATTAATGGTAATGCTAAAGAAACATTTGTAATTTTGTACTGTGAAGAAAGTTTTTTATCCAGGTAAGCTGTCAGGTTTTTTTTTAACCCAGTTGCTCCTCACCTTTCATGTGGAAGTATAAAAAAGCTAATTTTTAAAAATTTCCCAATGAAGGATGTTTAGAGACAGATATTATGGTATGGATAAGAGAGGTCATCATTCCAATAAGGAAATGAAGATGAGCAATCTAGACAATGCATTCATTGCTTCACTTCATAGCAAATTACCTGAACTGTGAAATTTTTAAGAAGGGAGTTTATTTTTAAGAATCTCCGAAAAACATTCCCCTTAATATTAAAAAAAAAAAACGGTCACTTATTTCATATCGTGAATAGAGTTGCAAGGCCATCTCCATTGAAAGGAGCCTTTAGACTCTATTGTATATATAATCATGTGCTAAATTTCATTTTCAGGCAGTCAAGACTCATCTGCGTGACATGATTATTGTACCTGAAATGATTGGTAGTATTGTTGGTGTGTACAATGGTAAAACATTCAATCAGGTAGAAATCAAGGTAGGTGGCTACACGTAAAACTCATAAAACATTGAGTGTATAATAGAATATACCTAGATTTTAATTTTGTAAAATATACAACTTTTGAATTTTTAGTGTATGGCTAGGCTATGTTGTTTTTGAAGAGCTGGATTATGACACTTGTGATGCCTTTGTCAAAAGTAAACCTTATTAGAAAAAGGTCACTGGAAGATGGAATATTATATCATATTAGTAGGAATGTTTTATTGCATCTGTACGAAGTTTATGAACCAAGATTTCATTCATTACAGCCTGAAATGATTGGACACTATCTTGGAGAATTCAGCATAACATACAAACCTGTGAAGCATGGCAGACCTGGTATTGGTGCCACCCATTCTTCAAGATTTATCCCTCTGAAGTAAATGTTTCCATTACCAAAATTAGAATATTGCCACATAACATCTGAAAGGCACAGGATATAAGAAGAAACAAAACTCTGAGAGAAGATAAAAAGAAAAACGTGTAAATATTGTGCTTTTCTCTCCAGAACCCATGAAAGTCTGGTAATAAAACACTTATGAATAAGAGTCTTTGTCTTTTTTACTGACTAATGTTGATAAGCTATTGAGCTCTATGACAACTGTAAAACTAAAAATGTAAAGACAATTATTATTTGTGGGGAGAATAACTAATACAGGTGTAAGCCCAAGGCAGTCACTGAGTGAAATATGTGCACAGAGATGAAATACACAGTAAAAAACTAAACGGACAAAATCAAATGCTCCTGTATAAAAAAAGGACAGACAAAGCTACTCACTAGTTTGAAAGTTAAACAAATAGTTTTGAAGCTAAACTAGAAACCGTCTCTGATGGCAATAACAAAGTCGGGCATCGGAATATGTGTACTTTAATAACCATGATCAATCAGTCTGACAAAACATTGTATAGAAGGCATTTGCTATTTGAAATTAAGATTTATTTACCCTCCCCTGCTTCATTTCAGAGGCTAGCTAAAGCTTTAGCCAGCCTTGAAGCAGGTTTAAAACTGATCCACAGGCTTTNTTTTTCGGGCGATAATCGCTGGCGGCCGCCAGCCTTTCGCACAATTGTAAAAAGGTGATATCTCCATGCCCAATATCAATGGCATACCAATCCAAAACGACGGCACCCGTTCTCTTTATGACTTTAATTGTCGTGTAATTTGAAAGTTATCCTAGAGATGAATTTGACGGCAAAGCGGCCACATTTCCACGTGGCGATAATACGCATGCGCAGAAAGCTCATTTCCTGGCAAATTCACTAACGACGTTTGCGCCAACCGACTTCGTTGGGGGCTGGGGGGGGGGATTTTTTTTTTTTTTTTCGGAGAACGGGCGAAAATCGGTGCGCGCGCAGGATGTCATCCATAAAATTAAAAAAGTGTGGCCTTATAATATGAAAATGAACTTGTTTTTTTTTTTTTATATTTATGTCCTCAAACTGGTCTTTTATACAAAGTCCAATTATGTTTAACAATGACAGGCCTCTGATAATATGGAGTCACTTGAAAAAGTTAATCATTAACAAAATTCTAGGTTAAACAAGGTGTCACATTTCAAATCTCTTTTAATATATAACTGAAAGTGCAACAAAGCATGCAATGCAAGTTTCCAGCAATTCTGAGTTATTAATCATTGTCACACTGTTCTTGTGAACAAAACATTGAAAGTTCAGTCAAGCAGATCCTTATCACGTGAGTACAGATTGTTGAGTAGTAATCAATAAGCTGCTCATCTCATTGGCCATTCTCAAGTTTCTTGTAATCTGATAAATGTTCTATTTCATCTTTTTTCATTCTCTTACGTGCTGCCATGTGTTGTCTGAAAAAATGGTACTTTCTTTGATCTCTATTAATCTTCTTTTTCAACTGAAGCATTCCATATAACAATGCTTCTGCAGATGGTGGACAACCTGGAAGAAAATAAAGTATTCATTTACATCTCAATTATTACAAAGACTGCAATTAATTCTTAGTAGGGTGACAAAAGAGTTTTAAGTAACCAGAACATTTTATTTCAAATTATATTATTTTGCAGATTGTAGTAAAATGTCAACTTGGCTGACCAACGTCACTGTGTTTATACCAAACTTTTAAGTCTCATCTTAGTGTTAAAGATATTTACTTAGTTCTAAATATCTGTGCAAGTCTTTTTGCCTTATACAAGTTAAAGTGAATTTTTATCAAGTGTACTTTTCTGCAGTATTTGCCAAAGTTAAAAAATAATTAAAAAACTTACCTGGTACATATACATCTACAGGCAAAATCCTGTCACATCCCCTTACTACCGAATATGCATAGTGGTAGTAACCTCCACCATTGGCACAACTTCCCATGCTCACTACCCATCTGGGATCAGGCATCTGATCATAAATCTAAAATTGAATTAATCAGTGTCAATCATACTAAAAAGTGGAAACTTATTTTTCTTTCTTTGTTAATATCTGGTAAATAAATCAATTCTGTACTTTCTTATTACAAAATAGAATGGTGCATGAAAAACATACTACATATTTTTCTTTTATTCTCAAACTTAAAATTTGTCCATATATAAAAAATAACTTGTCAATGAGAGTTGTGTCAAACATGGGCAGCATAACTACCATTCTAAGGGCTGGTGCCATTTTGTTTGTGAGAGTCCCAGCAACTATAATACAATCTGCTTGGCGTGGACTTGCTCTGAACACCATACCAAGCCTGTCCATGTCATATCTTGGTGCAGCGAAATGCATCATTTCTACTGCACAGCAGGCAAGACCAAATGTTAATGGCCAGATTGAACCCTGACATAAAGAGAAGAAAATGATAACCCTAGAGACTGACCCATGGGAGAAATTACACCCTGATATATATATATATATATATATATATATATATATATATATATATATATATATATATATGTATAATATAAAACAAAAACATCCAGAAAAAAAGCACAATGAATCCAAGTAGATCTTAAATACTTAGTTGTCATTAAAATTGGTAAACAATTATTATCAATTTATATCCAAATTATTTAAGAAAATAACACTGTAAATTACACCATGATAAGGATGATGATGTTAAAATCACATGGATACTGGACTATTTGTGTTTGAATGCATCTGACTTGGGCACTGTTCACATGAAAAATCCGAATTCCAAAAATCCATTGGCGGTATCTAGTGATCATGGTCTGTGCCCTTAATACCCCCCAAGGGCCATTTTCTTTCTCTCTAGCTTATTACTGCGCATGCGTCCAGGTGTCAGAATCTCCTCCGAGCACAACCAAGATTTAATTACAGCTTTGGAAGTAACTCACTCGCTCTGCTAGTTACAGAATTAGGCCGCAGGGTATTCAGGGCACAGACCGTGATCACTAGATACCACCAATGGATTTTTGGAATTTGGATTTTTCAGGTGAACGATGCCTTGGCTAAACTCCAGAACAATGATAGTTTTGTCTTTCTAAACAAAATTAAGTCTGGAAGACCAAAGATTTTGCAGATAAAATTTTATGTATGAGATAGTCAATGGTAATTTAACTTTATGCTGATTGATGTAATTTTTCTATATTTACACAGGTTTTAAAGGGGTCGCATGGGTATAGAAGAATTAACTTACCCTTCTGCCCCAGTTTATAAGATCATCAACCCTGGCTACAGCATATTCTCCAACAGAAGTTTTTCCAGTGTGTGCAAGCTGTTTACCAGGAACATGGTTCGGCTTGAGACTCAGGGATGTGAAATCTTTTACCTCTGGCCCATCTGGTTGATTTGTGCTTTGCTCCCGTGTAAGAACCAGACTACAAATAAAATACCAGTATTTGGTTATAAACAAAAAAGCAATTTTAATTACCTTGGCAGCTAAATAATTCTTTACAATTTCATTATTTGTGACTTTTCTCAAAAATTTTTAGGTTCTTTACAATTTCATTATTTGTGACTTTTCTCAAAAATTTTTAGGTTTACAATCAATAAAAATTTTCACTGACTCAATGTAACAATACTAATTTAACTTGAGTAATACTTTCAAATTCTATACACACATCCAATATCGGGAACAATTATCTGCACACTAGTGCTTTCAACTGGGCAACAAGAAAAACAAGTTGACTATGGCACTACATAAACACTGCTTAAAAATATAAGAAAATATTCTCACTCAAAGCTTCTCTTTTCATTTTCCTTAACATGCCGTGTTCTGTCATGTAAAAATCTGGTTTGTGTCAATGGCAAAGTTAGCCTCTGAAAGAGCCGAAAGCTCACTTGCAGATGAATCACTGAAAGAAATTAAAAAGCAGATGTAACTAAGGCATCAATCAGAATTGGGGACTAACTAGTCGGAGGATCAAATATGGTGACCCACTACAAAGCCTGTCGTCTAATCCGCTAATAGACAATGAATAGATATCCCGTGGGGAAGTATTCAAGTGGGTCAACCATATTTGACCCTCAGACTACTTAGTCCCCTATTCTGAGTGAGGCCTAAATTAATTTTTCCTATCTGCATAGATCTAAGTATATTTATGTATAATCCAAAATTGAAAACTAAAAATTCTAGACACAAAAGACTTGTTCTTGCACTAATTTTATCATATTTTTCCTTTTATTTCACCTTATCTGCACAGATATCAGTATATTTCCATATTATCCAAAATTAAAAACTGAGAATTCCTGACAACTCTTACACAAAAGACTCGTATTTGCACTAATGTGATCACATTTTTTCTTTGATATAGTTCTAAAACTCAACTCCTTAGTGAGAAGAAAAAGTATTATTAATACCAGCGGTACCCTTACTCGAAATAAATGGGTCTATCCTTTTCTTATTTCTAGAGACCATTCCCACAGATATTTAGATCGATCTATCCCCCTGGGGAGTCTCACTAGATTGCTGTCAGCTTAACCGCTTAAATGTCTGTCCCTCCTACTAAAAGCTGTAAGGGGGTAATTATTTTTTGTGCGTGCTCGGCTCCCGGAAGATGACAGCAATTTAGCTTGAACCCCCAGGGAATTGGGTCGATCCAGATGGATCAATCCAAATCTGTGGGAACCCGGTCCTAGACATAACTAATACTTAAATCAGTATTTACAGTTGAGTACTGCACCTAACTTAAGCAGATCTACATTTAGTTTATAAGTGGGCTGAGAGTTCTCTACTTAAACTTCATTCAAATGCAAGTTCATGAGAATAAAGATTCATCCATAAAATTGGGATCATAATTGGGAAAAACACTAACTTATTGTCATGCTTAGACTCCAGATAATGGGACAAATTGGAAGTGTGCAGATAACATTGAGTCATATTGTTGTAGAGATGATGAGTGACATATCATTTGAAAGCTTATGCTCTGGTTTTTCTGAATTGGGCAGTTGCTTGAAGATATTTCATGTTTCCTCCAGTACACATATAAACACTGTTACCTACTTGATACTGTGCACAGAAAATTAAATGTTTTACGCATATTTTATCTACAGCAAATTTAAGATCTATGATCATGTAAACACCAACACTCTGTTTCAAGTCATAGGAAAAATCTGCATAACCCATTTGTCCATTGTTTTAGCATACGCTTGAAACATACATTCTACAAATTAATTAAAAAACCTGAACTTCCAGGGTTGTCCCATAATATGGGGCCAGAGTCTATGATAAAAGTAACTTTATTAACAAATTAAAACATAAACTGCAGCGTGTTTCAGATTAATAGGGCAATGGAACAGTTACAGACAATACATTAGCTTTTGAACAGCATGTAAATGAAAAAATCACTAAAGCCAATAACATTCTCGAGAAAATCAGGACTTTTGAATAACTATAGATTTTGAGAACTTCAGCCTATGCTGTAAGTCACTAGTTCATCCACATCTAGAATTTGCAAACCAGATCTGGTCTCCTAGTTTAAAGAAACATAGCAATTGAAGTTGTGCAACATAGAGCAACAAAAAATTTGCCAGGATTCTAAGAACTGTCATATCAAGAAATACTGGAAAGATTTTAGCTTCCTGCTGTATCTAACAGGAGATCAGATGATAATATGAGTGAAATGTACAAAATCTTAAGTGAAAAATGTTTTACACAAATTTCATCAGACTAAACCAGACTCACCTAACAAGAGGACAGCATATGAAAAAAGATCGGAGTAGCACAAAATTAAATATCTGCAAATGAGCCAAGCCTCAGTGAGATCCGTTAACAACACGAAAGAACCAGGGACCACTTGCACATCCCAATATACCGAAGAACCACAGGAGAAACACTTTAATGAACCCAACGTCGTGATACTTCATAGACTGCTTTGGTAGTTACATGTAGCCCGGTGGGTATCTTTTTATTATTATTACTATTTTTTTTTTTTTTACTAAATTTAGTTGACACTAGTCACTAAGACAGAAAAACTGCATAAGTCCGACACGTGTTTGATCTTAGTAAATAAATTTTTAAAAACATTTTACAGCATTTACTAAAAGCGTTATGTGACAAACTAGAGATAACTGTTTTCTGAATGGATTCGAAGAATCAGAAAACGTATCATCAAGATTTGACCTATTATGAAACATACCTCCCCGAGCCACCGCCATCTTTGATGCGACTTAGTAAAATAAAGATCGGTACAAATTAATTTACCGATCATTTTCTTCAAATCCTTTTATAATTAAAAATATACCCCAATTTTTTAAACAAAAATATTATTTTTGGAAACCATTTATGCAAATTAGAATGTCGTGCCATTTTCAGTTTCCATCATGCTTTGACTTTCAATGTCAAAGTTGAACAAAATGGCGGATCCGGCAGACTTGAAAGTGAGTAATTTCTTCGATTTTACAATAAATTTAGAGATATTTCAACATTACTTTTTTTCTAATCACACCAACCCTTTGTTTTTTCTCCATTTTACTGGGTGTTTAGTCTTTGGTAGTGTGGAGGTATTGAGTAACTGAATTTCAGTTATATTTCTTGGCCTAACCTAGTTAGCAAAACAACTAAACTGATAGGCCAAAGCCACATGTTTGTTTCACATTAAGTTGGCAGACTGACAATTTTTGTATGATTAGATGCCCTGTAAGTTTGGTGATTATTTTCAAAGGGTATAGACACTAGCTTTAACCACTATAATAAGTAAATATTTGTTTTAGAAATAACAACGTAACCTTTTTTTTTTAATATATGACAAAAACTTACCTCTATCCACTTTTGGAAACCATTATACTGCATCCTGTATATTTACCAGGCTTCAGTTATGGAGTTATTCATAGTTTTGTAACATAAGGTTTGTCACTGCTATCATTTCTTGCCAAAGTTGCTGTGTAAATGGAGAATGATCTAGAAAGTTCTGTTACTGACCCATCAGTATAACAAATTTTCCCTTTTTTACTATTTGATAAACAATAGTCTGCTTGGTTTTCATTTTTGAGAATCTGTACAAAACCATTAGTTCAGTCCAGTTGATTATAAAGACTTTGAACTAGTAACCCTTTCATCAAATTGATTGTATCTTTGCTAGACTGAGAAAATGATTTCACCCATTTTTCAACATTTTGATGAAAAACATAAGTTACTGTGAAGGACAGGTAAGGTAGCATTGATGGGCTTCGGTTATATGAGAACTCTATTCTTATTCTTATGCTACATTTTTTTAGTTAAAGATTTTATTATTGATTTTACTTTCAGCACATGGTCATGAGCTTCCGGGTTTCAGAACTACAAGTTCTGCTTGGATTTGCTGGTCGTAACAAAAGTGGCAGAAAAAATGAACTTTTACATAGAGCATTACAATTAATAGCCAAAGGCTGCTCTACTCCAATTCAGATTAAGATTAAAGAATTGTACAGGTGAGAATGCCGTGTCTGTTAAATTTTTATCTAACAAATAGGCTACATAATTGACAGAGTGTTGAAAATTGTTGTAAAACAGTCATTAATTTGCCTTGCCTATCATATGGAAAGCTGAAGTAAATGCTGGAATCGTTCCAAAATAATGCATATATATTGATTTTTTTATACCTGTGTACATCATGAGGAAATTGGCATCTTGCCATTTGAAATATTCAAGCTTGGCTTTAAGCCAAGTCAAATGTCTAGTTATGCTTGCTTCTCTATGGGCTGCTTCTATTTTTAGAATTTCTCATTTAAGGTAGAATACAGATTAATGCAGTTGAATATAGATTATATAGAGCCATATTACTCAGTATGGGGTGAAGAGTATTTATGAGATCTTGCTGATAACATTTCAGTTCTCTATAAATACACTAGGTTGTCAAACCTAGTGGTTTATAAGAAGTTCCTTTTCTTTGGTACTTTTAAGGTTGGCCAAGTAGCCACATAGCCAAATGAATATGACATATTAACAAACAATTTGCAGGTATGATTTGATGATAGATGGATTTACTACTATTGGGTGACTTTGGCTAAAAAATTTACATTTTAAACCAAATGAGGCTAATACAATATGTTTGCTTTCAGCTGTTGCATTATGATAGTAACTAAATGTTGCAGAGAATAATGTAACATGTTTGACTTCTTAGACTGTGTTCCCATAAACCAATCGTACTAGCTGGATCAATCTAACTCCATGGGCAGTGTTTGACCTTCATTTGAAATAGCACAGGCCAATTTGGCCAGTGAGTTTTGAAAGTTACAGGCCAAACTGAAAATGTACAAGCCCGACCTTAGCCTGTTTTATTAAGAAGTTACCAGCCAAATATTCAAAGTGCAGGGCATGTGGGAATGACTGATGATTGAGATGTTATCAGGTACCAATGCTGCATAGTTAGTTATAAGTCATATGCAAATAAAGATAAAACTGTTTTGATCAATCGTTTTACTCATTTTAGGCTCTAGAAGTACTTGTTTCAAGATAAATATTAAAATGAGCTTTAATTAAATATTATTAATATTACAACTAAACTCGTGTGATATTTTGGGTGAACTCTGTAGGTCGCTCTGACTTAGATGAAATCAGTGAATAGCTGTAAAGCTAACGAGATTGTTAAAATTTCAAGTGTATCCGAGGTGAAGTAAAATTCGTTATATTGCTTTATTTGAATGGTATTGTATTAGCGCAATTTAGGTAATTCAAGTTCTCTCACCCTAAACACGTTGCTAATCTTCGTGCGTTTGAAAAAATTTTTTTTGCTCTGCTCAGAAAAAGATTTTTAGAGAACGTCAAAACCATGCTTTGGGTCAGAGAGCTCAGACAGTTAGCTTGCATCAGTTCGTTTCTGCTTTGATTTTGTCTACTCATCACTTGATGCTGATTCTGAGACGTTCTCAGTCTCTTCTACGGGGCGTTCGTAAATTTCAAACCTGCTCCATGATCCACTTGTAGCTTTATCCCAGAAGTATCGACTGCACATAATCCCAAGACGTACTTCGTCAAACTCCATCGCCCAAACATTTTCTCTACTTCTATGCGCAAACGAAGGCTAGGGGCTTTCAAAATTGACAGTGAGACTGTGAATATGTCACTACAGAATTCCTCAACATCAACCAATCACGATTATTACTTATGAAAGTAAAAACGAGGTTAGCAGTTAGAGGAATTCCCTGAACTTCCCCGTAAATATTGGCATGTCAATAGGACTTTTATTGAGTCTAAATTTTGCCGATACACTTAATATAGAAAGTTGAAATAAATATACTCGCCAAAATGGTGACTTGTATCATAAATTTCACCCGCCAGATTTAATTTTTACTCTCATTGGCGTGCTGGCGAGTGCGAGTGTCAAACGCTGCATGGGGCTTCTCACTAAATTTCTTTCAGTGTAATCTGCTTAATTGTCTGGCACGCCCCCTTGATTAACTAGAGGGTAATTGACTGTCGTTAATTACCCCCTTGCAGTTTGATTAGGCTAGCCAGACCTTTAAGCCAAGTTAGATCAATCCAGCTAGTACAATGGATTTGTGGAAAAACTCCCTAAAACTACCATTTACCTGTGGCAGAAAATAGGATAAGCTAGAGATAAAATGGGGGGGGGGTTAAGGGTCTGCTGTTGAGAAGATCTGCTATTCCAAAGATCTGCCATTCCAAAAAAAGTTTATTGAAGTGATAAATGGGCTTAAACAAATTATATTAGTTGCATAATCCCTCTGTGTTGAAGAAGCACATTTAATTTGCTAACTTTGTGCTGTTTGGGCTCTATGTGAACCTTTGGAATAGGGGATCCTTGGAATAGTGGACCTTCAGAGTAACCGACCCTGGGAACAGTGGACCCTTAGAATATAAAATGCACCCAAAAATGCAGGGCAGAAAATCATAGTATAATATGTCAAAAGTTTATTAATTTCAATTCAATCATAATTTTTTGTTACAAAAATGTAACAGATAATGAAACCTGTTTAATTTTTGCTATTGCTGGATACCTATTACATTACATGGAGCTGTTATGTTGAACAATTTTTCACATGCCTCCCCACACATCGTCCCTGCAGGGGCACAGTAATTAAATCTTGGCTCAATTCAACAGGTTGAGGGACGACGTGTGGGGAGGAAAGTGAGAAGCAGAGAGACCATTACAGGATTAAGCGGTCTTCCTTTCATGTAGGTCTGCCATATTTAGGTTACTTCCTAGCTAGTGCTCAGCTGTTCTTGATCTGAATGGGGCCAAAGTCAAAGAAAGTATGAAGATAAGAGTTTACATGTTTAACTGATATTTTTCATTTGGTCATCATTTTAAATGATGTATCCAGTACTGTGATGGTGATTACAGCTAGTGATGCCTAGTGATGGCAACTTTGCCTTAAAATGCTGTATAGCATTTTTTAATCTATTTCAGAAGACGTTTCCCTGCCAAAAATACCTCCAGTCCACAGGCACCGCAACCAGTAATGGTACAACAAGCAGCATCAATTAAAGACCCACATTTAGGTGAGCCTGTCTTTGCTAGGAAGGACTGTGATCCTGATTTTGTTGGATAATGTAATTGCAATAGTTCAGTCCAGAATAAAGTTATTAGTTTGCACTTTTGAGGCCCCTTTTTTATTGGATTATTTTGAATATGGATTGCTGTGCAGTGTTGCTGTATAGTATGATAACTATTTATTTATTTATTTATTTATTTATTTTAAATTTATTTATAAGTCAAGAAGCCTTTAAAGAGCTGAAAGTGCTTATTCAATATATCTTGGTCATCACTTAATTTGTCACTTATTTTTCCCTTACAGGTTCATTATTAGGGGATGCATTAGATTACAGTAGCAAACATCTCCCAAGTTCACCATCCAGTGCTCTGCCAATTCATCCTGATGTCAGGCTTAAGCATTTGCCTTTCTATGATTGTTTAGGAGAGCTTACAAAACCTACAAGTTTAGGTTAGTTTTTTTTTTAAATAGGATTTTGTCTTATATTTATGATGCAAACGTTTTCAGTTTTATAATATATGTTTGCTATATCTTGCTATTTATTATAATTTTTTATGTAAGTTTTATTAGATATGCAATGTTCAATTTCCCTTTTAAAGATAGGTCAGAATTTGAGACCAATAAAAATTTGACACTGAACTCATTTCATTAGTAAGAATTGTGTTATGTGTGTGTGTGTATGTTGCAAATAGTTCTTGTTTAACATCATATTGATCTCACAAATGATAATGTGATGTCAGCCTGAACACAACGTATAACATTGTTATTATAGTTCCAAAGAATGCAGGTAGATTCCAAGAGGCAGCCTATGTATTCCATCTTACACCACAGCAAGCTCAGGACGTTGCCATGTCCAGATATGGGTGAGTAACCAATACAAGTATTCGGGTGTTTTTGCAGAGGTGATAAGATTTGTCTATACAATGGAAAACGTTGAACTCACTGATGCTGATTGTTTTGTTATGATGTGTGAAGATCAAACTTAAAATTATGTGTTTTGCACATTTATCAGATTAATCCAGCAGAAACAAGTAGCATCTAGCATTATTTCTATACTGGAATTTTTCTATCCCTCAGGGACTTAAAGGCATGTGGAAGAATAGACTACCAGGTCCAGGTGCAACTAAGGTACAGTATGTAACAACTTACACTGTGTGAAATTTAATGTGTGTGTATGTATGTACGTACGTACATACGTACGTACGTATGTATGTATGTATGTATGTATGTATGTATGTATGTAGATTATTATTATTTTTTTAATATATGTTCAAATATGTTTTATTTATTTATTTGCTTATTTTTTTATATTTTGTGCTATGATGAAAGTGCAGGGGTCCTGAAACAGCCAGCAATGTGGGTTGTTGTTCTGTCAGTATACCATTCTCAGTTGCATGTGGTGACAGAGATTTGGGCTGACAACAAGATATGCAATATTCTGAGCAAAGTTTGAGCTTTACAACCTATTTTAATATATGAAGATATAGTTAATAGCATGTAAGTGTGTACCTGTAAAATGATAGAACATGATTGTCAGATATTTATTTTAGTTGGAAATTTAGATACTGAAAAGATGTCAGGGGAAAATGGTCTTTTTAATAAATTTATTGGTTGTAGTCAGGTAAAACCTGTATACTTCACTATTTATATATCTGACCAATTCATAGTTGTTATTTGTAGAGTTTTGAAGTTAAATACATTTAAGAAAATTTAATAAATTTCTCTATCAATAATACTTTTGTTATGTGTTTTAAAACAAATGTATAACGAAGGAAAAAAAGAAAAAAGTTTGTCCAACATTGCTTAAAAGGCCCTTAATATTAATTGCAGGTTCTGCCTTTTGGAAACCAGCTGTGAACAAGCAGATAATTTTCCTCCAAGCATTTGTGTCAGGATCAATGGAAAGTTAGCTCCTCTTCCAGTAAGCCAATTTATTTCGGTGCTCTGTTTATAAGTTAAAATATGTAATGATGATATTCATGATGGGCTTTCAGTCTTTTCAATGAACCTTTGAATAGAGAGGACGGTTTGGCATCTTTCTTTTCTTTCATTTTAATTCATACAGTATGATATTTGATTTGCCACACTGGTTTGAGATTGAGTATCAGATTGTAAGATACCAGTATACCTGTTCAGTGCTCTTCAGTGAAACGTGTTATCTGTGATGTTCAGAAAAACTTTTTTCCAGAATCCAATTCCCACTAACAAACCAGGAGTTGAACCCAAACGTCCTAGCAGGCCAGTGAACATAACACCACTCTGCAGGATATCTCCAACTGTGCCCAACCACATCACCGTGTCATGGGCATCAGAGTTTGGAAGAGTAAGTAAAAGTTGCATGGTTTAGCTGTGTTTCCTGCACAAAGAGACATGCATCATTTCAGCAAAGTGACTTTCAAAATTTATCATCTTATAAGATAGTCAAGTTCTCAGAGTCTAGCAATATTGCTCATTAGAGCATTCCTTTGACTTTCAATGTGTCACAGATCACTTCAAAAGATTTTTATTTATCTTCTCCCTATCAGCATCAGTCAGATCTTGGATGTTTGTATAGTTTTTTCACTGCTAACTCTGACAGGAACTGTGTTGTTTTCAGGGCTACTGTGTGGCAGTTTATCTAGTGAAAAAACTAACATCAGAAATACTACTGGATAGATTAAAACGTAATGGTATTCGGCATCCAGACCACTCTAGGGCACTAAGTAAGTTTTGGTTGTATAATGCTTTGACTCTTGAAATGACAAAGTATAGAATTTCTTCTAAGTGTCCCTTATACTTTTATAGCTATTTTTTTTTTTTTTTTTTTACATGGGGTGTGTTCATTGATGGCTCTTTATATTCCAGTGCATAGTTCAGTACGTGTTGACAACTGTTCATGCATTGAAATTTTTGACAACTGTTCAGGTCCACGTATGCATATACTGTGTACGTATATATGCTATAAATGTATTTATCAAAGGATATGTAATTTTCAGAGTTGTAGCAATATTAAGCAAGCAGTGTATCAGTTGCATTCGCTGTCCAGAATGTTCGACGAAATCCTTTAGTTTTTGAATATTTTTATAAGTTCTTAGTGACACTCACCTCCCTTGTAACGTGGTGTCCCGATCAATGAATAATGAAAAAGCTTTCAAAAAGACCCACGCAGAAAACTTCGAGTCCTGATCTCTTACTTAGCTTCTTCTTCCGCAGTTCATGGTGCATTTATAAAAATTTCGGTGGCAAAGAATACAGACTTACTGCCTGTTGCTTATGGTTTACTCAGAGCTCACGCACAGTCCTCGTCACACACCGCCATCTTGTTCTCCCCCTCCAAAATTTAAACTATTTGTTAGTTTCTTTTTATTAATTGTTGTCAGAGGGGCTTAGAATAGATAAGAGAAAATTATAATACAGATTTGTCATTTCTTCTGTTATAAGATGTTGTTATGATTATTTCAGTCAAAGAGAAACTATCACATGACCCTGACAGTGAAATAGCAACAACAAGCCTGAGAGTATCCCTCATTTGTCCTGTAAGTTTCCATTAATGATAAGAATTTTTTGTTGGTAATGATTGTAAAATAGACACAACAATGTATTTATTCTGGTTGCTTGCTGAAAATCATTAGTATGTAATTGCAGTGTGATAAATGGTAAATGGTAATGCTGTGATGAAAGTGCAGGGGTCCTGAAACAGCCAGCAATGTGGGCTGTTGTTCTGTCAGTATACCATTCTCAGTTGCATGTGGTGACATAGATTTGGGGCTGACAACAGGATATGCAAGATTCTGAGCAATGTTATTTATTTATTTGTATTTTGTGCTATGATGAAATTCCAGGGGTCCTGAAACAGCCAGCAATGTGGGCTGTTGTTCTGTCAGTATGCCATTCTTAGTTGCATGTGGTGACAGAGATTTGGGCTGACAACAAGATATGCAAGATTCTGAGCAAAGTTTGACTGTAACTTCTTGTTTTTTGGAATATGTATGCATATATATGTATATGATGGTGTGTTTGGTAGCACTAAAGTCTTTGCTGTGGAAGAAATGATAGGAAACAGTTGCCAAATATTCATATATTGAGAATTTTTATATTTACAAGTTAAAAAATACCATTTTCAGCTGGGTAAGATGCGTATGCAGATTCCCTGCAGAGCCAGCACATGCACTCATTTACAGTGTTTTGATGCCTACACCTTCTTGCAAATGAATGAAAAGAAGCCCACTTGGATATGCCCTGTATGTGATAAACCAACATCATTTGAAAAGTTGATTATTGATGGGTAAGTAGTGCAACTTTATAAATGTCAGCGTTTTTTACTGAATGGATAGTTCTACTTGTTGACACAAAGAAAATACCTGTAATTCATCTGAAAATAAGTCAGCAAGTGCATTTAAATTTCAGGCTGTTTACTGAGATATTTCGACAGTGTCCAAATGACAATGAGATTGTTTTCAATGAAGACTGCTCTTGGATCCCTGTTAGAAAACAAAATGATGCTCAAGTTTTGTCTAGTCCTGTCTCAAAAGCTAGAGAGCCAGCAACAATGAAAAAAGGTAAAATGCACATGTGATATAAGCCAGTGTTTTTACTTTTGTTAAAGCAAGTAATGTCTTGGTGAAAAAGTAAAAAGTCTAAAGACAAATTTTTTTTTCCTATGAGGCACGATGTTTGACCCATCACGAAAGGGTCTTGGATCATATGACTGTCTCTTCATAAAATCTTGATAAGTTTTTTGAAAATGTTCATTTACATGGCAATGTAAAGCTTCATGCACAGGCTTAGATTCATTTTTAATACAGGTTACCATAATGTCTTAGTTTTTTTATAGCTATACATTTTAAGGAGTTCTAAGAGTACTTTTAAACCATTTGCATGGTTTTCATTTGTAAATTTTTGTTTTGCCTATTGCTAGAATCAGTTGCTATGGCAGAGCCAAGCACTAGCGGTACAGTGAGCACTCCAGTGAAGAAAGAAGCTCAAGTCATTGATCTGACATTGGATAGTTCCAGTGATGAGGATGAAGATTGCAAAGAAGAGCATGCTTCTCCACTGTCAGCATCTTCAGCTGCTGCAGCCTCAGGGTGTGTGAGTCCTCCTCTGATAAGCTTAGATACCCCACCTAGGGTGACAACATACACACCACCTAGTCAGCCTCATACACCGTTACATTCCAGCCCACACTCTCCTCTATACAGCTCTACTCAGTACTCACCATTAACCTCTCAGTCCTCTCAGTGTTCCTCTACCTCCTCCATTAACACCATTGTCCCCACCCCACCACCTGCCCATGCTGGAAATGCTCTATCTGGCCTTGGCTTCAATGGCATCCAGGGTAACATGGAACCTATATCACGAACTGAGTTTGAAGACTTTATGGAAGTGATGCTGGGAAGCGGTTATCAGCATCAACACCAGCAGTATTATCCACAAGGATTTGGGTATTATCAAACACCACCCACTCAGAATTACCATTTATCAAGGATAATGGAAATGGACAGTGATGATTCCATTATTTAGCTGAGTGGATAGTATAAGGATAATGAGGATGCTTTCAGTCAGTTCAAGTAAATTGTCATATGCTCAGATTTCTTTTTAAATCTTGTCTAGAACCACAGCAATATGCTCCCCTTAGTATATGATAGAGAGGGCAAACATTGACTTAGACCCATTGTCCTGTAAAACAGTTAATATTTTGGATTTTTTTTTAACTTAATTCTCTGTGGAAAAAGTTTTGTTTCAGTCAGTTGCTCAAAAAAAAAAATAAATAAATAACCACAAATTGGAGACTTAAAAATGGGTTATTATTTTCCTTAGCTATTGGCAAACATTTTACCTATGTCTTTTACCAATTACAGGACATTTACATTTCTGTCTCATCCTACTGATTAAATGGGTGCAATTTTTTTCTTGTTCATGAATGAGGAGCAAGCTAGACATGGTGCCTGGACAAAGATCTGTGCTCCAATATTTTGCAGTGCCATGAGCCTTCATCTTTGACCAAAGATATTAGTATTTGTATGTCTTATATGTAAAAAAATTAATAATATAGTTCAATATTTATCTATATATCTATCTATATATATATAAATATATTTATTTTATTTATGACGTGTAAATATATGTATAATATCAAAAGTGAAAGTGTACAGTTGTTAAAAGAGCTGATGTCTTAAATTACAAAACATGGTAGATGCAATGTTTAGTTATATAAAATTTTGAAATTATGTTAAAAGTGCAATTTCTTAAAGCTTTCTTTTAGCTTGCGTTTCCTTATTCTAACATAAGGTAAAACTGGTATGATAGATTAACATACACAATTTTTTTGACATGGATCATCTTTATTGTAGATTTATGAATTGTATTTCTTTCAATAAGTAACATTTTATTCATTTATGCAACTGCAGGCAAGTTTTTTATGGGTATGTCAGATTTTGACAGATTTTTTAATTTGGGAAACAAGTATGAGACAATATACTTAGATGAAGTAGATATTGAAAAACAGATATCCAAAGCTCTATTTCAACACAGAACACATGTTAAAGTAAACACTTGGAGGTCAACTGCTTCTTATAATTATCTCACCGATTGTTAAGTTTTTAGTTTTAAACAGCTGACGTGCTTTAAAATGGTGTTGGGGCAATTTGTCCAACTTCTTTATGACAGGTTGCATATGTACAGTATCCACTCCAAAGTCATTAGATTGTCTCAATATTCAGCCTTTTTGATGTCATGTTCAGCCTTTAATTCATTTAAAAACAAAGAGATCTTATCAATCCTTATTATGGGAGAAGGTTTTTATGACTGCTTTGGAAATTTTGTTAAGATTTGAGCAAATGTTTCCTTTTATTCTTCAAAATATTGTTACAGTGAAGTGAAGGCAAGACTTGCCATTTTTAAACAACACTTGTTAGTGATATGTTCATATCAGTTTATTGTTATGGTTACTTAATATGGTTATTGTGTTTTTTAAATGTTGTCAAAATTCTTGAACTTAAGGTTAACAACAGGAACACTTCATGGACTAATTTTGTAGTTTTCTTAAATCAGACCATTGCCTTTCAGCCATCCCTCCTTATCTGTCATTCTATCCATTCCCACCATAACACAATATGAGATAAAATTGCCAGTACCCTTCTTAGTTCCTTATTCACTTTCCTTCATACCTTGCTTGCTTGGGTATGCATGTGCTCTATCAGTCATAAAATGATAAAGGAACATAGTTATTAGTTATTTCATTATATGGCCATGACACATGGAATGAAAAATGGTTACATTGTTGTTTCCTTCAACACAGCCATCACATTTTACTCTTGTTTGACTAGGTTAAGAAATGGCTTGAAGAAAGCAGGAGGGTTTGACATTTTATTGAGGATGACTGTGTTTGATGGATTGCATTTTGTACCAGTGTTTTTATGTTAAGAAATTCATATTGAAGGATGTGTCCTCTAACCATGTATATGTCAAAACCTATTTTAGAGAAATTAAACTTTCTTTCCTTAAAATGGTCTTGTTCTTTCTTTTGTCTTGAAACCCAACAGGAATAATATGACTGCCAGAGCACATGCACTCAAAATTTTTCATCTTACTAATACATAAATTTATTGAATAATTTTACTTGCAAATTTTCTTTTAGAAGTGATGTGCAGTTTTTAAAAAATACAAGTGCAATTTGATACAATTTCACCTTAATAAGGAGGTCATTTGTTTTAAGTGAAATGCCACTTAATACAGAAATAGCGAGAGAACCAAGGAAATGTTTTAAACATGTCATTCGTCAAACACTTAAATGTGTCAAAGAAAGGGATTTGTAGACGCCTACACTGAAAATATGACCACAGTTGTTTCAAATTATTCAAATGGTTAATTTTTCAGTACTAAATATGCAAAGAATGAGGCACCTATGATGCACCCCTCCACTGGCATTCAGGGAACTAGAGCTGCCCCCTCTGCCACCCTCCCACCACTACCCCAGTTGTACAGTGTTGGAACAACAACATTAGGAGGCCTTTTGCCATCAGTGGGTCGCAGTATGCCAGCAATGCCACACAGCTACTCAGAACCTACATTAAATTCAGCCATGTCAGGTTGGTTGGTTATCTTCAAAGCAAAATAATTAAATTATACTCTGTGAATTTACTAAATATTTTATTACACTTTATAAGGAATCATTGGTCTGTTGCATTTACAGTAATTTTAGCAAGAAAATTATGTTAGAGGACTGATATTCTAAAAGTAATAAAAGTAGGCTTGATATTCTTATTTGGCATGATTTTTCCAGACATGGAACTCATGAGCATATTAAACAGAGATGACACAGAGGTGAGATGAAAGTTGCTTCTTAGTTCAGTAATAATATTTCATTAATTTGAACTATAATACAAATATTTTATTGAAAAATAAACCTTTTTATATTTAATTTTTTCGGCTGTTTTCTTCTTTGTTGAAGTTCTAATAAGTTAGCCTTGCAGTGTTTAGCAAAAAGAATATATCAAGCAGAAAATTTATATCATTAAGTGCAGTTGGATATGTGTAGCTAAAACTTTTCCTTTGCCAGTTCATGATTCACTTTGTAAATGACTCAATACTTTTTCCTCAATTTGCAGATGTAAAACAGTTTATTGTTGTCATTTTCAGATTGTTGATTTTATGGGAGACTCTTTACATTCAATATCAAGTAATATCAGCGAACCTCTATCAAACACCAGTTCCATTGGAGTCATCAGCAATAACTCCAGTCCAGCTACAGCAGAATCTCTTGATAATGGAATCATCACTCTAGACTAACCATTATTAGGCTATAGATATAATTTTGCTATCATATAGAATCATATTATATTTTGAACTGCGTCTCAAATTTACAGCTGTCTTCCTGACTCCTTAAAATTTATGGTAGTGAGCACAGATCAACAGAAGAAGAATGGAAGACCTCTTGTGCTTTAGAAGTTAGAGTCCTTGAAAAGTGCTTCCTTTACAAGTTGAATTTTTATCATAAGTTGTGGATTAATAAAAGTTCAATTGAAAACTTGCTTGAGTAATAAAACGGAAATGTCAGTTACTCATGTTACTTAGTTCTCAGATTTGTTTCAGTGGTTTATTTCTTTTCACAGGAAGGGCAAATGTTTATTTTGTGTAGTTTTAGATGTAATAGCTGATTCAAAGACTTATGCAATTTTGTTAAAAGAAATTTTGATAAAATTATAATGTATGTTGAAACAAATGGCATTTATGAATTTTTATTATTTGAGTTCTTGTTTCTGTTTGCTACCCATTTTTAAGTTGCATAAATTTAATAGTTTCATTGCATTGATAATAAAATTAGAGAAGGAAAAACTTGATATGTACAGAAACCCTTACATTTAAATATTGGTAGCTGTGTTGATAATTTTGCCTTTGATTTAATTGTAACTTTGTCCATGTTAGATACATTACAAGTTATAGTAAACTTCTTTTGTATTTTCATTTAATATTTATGTACAGATTGGTTTAATAAATATGTTAATTTTATCAAAGAATAATATTGCCTATTAAGTCTTCAAAAAGAAAACAGACCTTACTAATTAAATGTTTTGCTGAAAAAGGGCATTTTGTTTCAGCTGTCCCCAGCATTATGATGTTTTAACTTGGAAGTGTGCTCCCTAAATTTTCTGTACATTTTTTCAGATGATGTACAGTTTTGTTAGCACAATCTTGAACATTATAAAAATGGTAAATACCTCCTGGTGTTTTTGGAGTAGTGTGGATCTCACTTTGGGGGACATATAAGCGGTATGATGTATTGCAAAATCACTTGTACAGGTGTAACATTACCAGTAATTTTCCACGGTGCATCGCGACGGGGACGCTGCGCAGCCATGAAGCAGACCTTTGACTAAGTGGTCGAATGATAGCTTCCATTCTAGTGTAAAACACTTTAGCCCCAACGTTCTCCAAAATTTTAATGACATTTTGAACGCTGACAATATATTTTGTAAAGATTATTTCACAAATAACACTCTCGTGGGTGTGTATAAAACCTGCGACGGAGAACGACAATACTTAGCGTTTGAGGTATTTCAACTTGAATAATCAAATGACATATCAAAATGATACCCCTCTCCCTATGTTTTGTTTTTGTCGTATTATGACAACTTGTCAGATATGGCAACCAAATTATTATAGAGGGGCGGATCCAGAGATATTTTCTCACAGTCTTCCAAACTATCTTTGTTGATCCATCCTCCATTTTTGACTGTCTTCAGAAAGAAAAAATTACATACCCATCAATGTAAGTTTGAAAATCTGACCGTCTCCCGGAAGACCCTGAAGACGACCAATCCGCCCCTACAAAATGAGTGGAAATTTTGCGTAATACTAATATACATACCCTTCTGCCAAGGGCGCAGGTTAATTATGTGCATTTTCTTCAGAGCGAGAATCCTGTAATGAATTAGCATAGAGACATATTTGTGAATGTCTAGTTTATTTAAGAAATCAATCTGTGCTCCTGGTGTAGGTTATCATACAGGTATGATTGGTCCAAGAGTGAAACAAAGGTTGGTACGTAAAACAAATACGCGTCCATTATCTTTTTTTTAGACCCCCCTATACACTACATGTACGAGGTATTTATTTGATGCACATGCAAGATCCTTTTCATTTAAAATAGAAATAGATGGTCGTTATCTTTTAAACCAAGGAGTTTCAACAGTTTCTGTTGTAATTCCTTGTTTAAGGTAACCCTTACTTTCAGGAAATCGCTTTCAAAAATCGCCATATTCAGAATAATTCTTGTTCTTTTAAATCTTTAAATATGAAGTCATTTTCAGAATACTCCCTCCAAAGATCCAAAATGGGGGATTTTTAAAAACTATTAATTAAAATAATTATATAAAATTAAAATTGAACAACAGAATGATAACCGTTCTTCCCGGGGGCTTCATTTTTGTTAGCACTCATCCTTGATAAACCCGAAACCATGGAGGAGGGGGAGAAAGATAGGCCTACACATTTCGGGTGATTTAATTAAAAAATCCACAGAATGGAATGAAAAGGCAATTTGGAACATGACAGAAAAAACGCCTGGGCTGTTTCAAAACAAAGCGGAGGGTCAGCTTGTAATTTTTTTATAGAACGGTTTAGCGGTGCTGATTTTTGATATGGCAAATTTCGTGCAGAATTTTTATTAGTTTATTTATTTCTGTCATTCAAAGGAAAATTAGTAAAGCTAATACCAGTAAACAACCTACGCCACCTGATCATCAGTCTCTTCAAGCCAAGTGCTCCGATCGCATTTCAATCAAAATGCATGTAAAATAGTAGAATATTCGTGCTATATTCACGTTTTTCTGTCATACATGGTGTTTTTTATTTGCAAAAATTAATAAAAACTCGAATGGTGCTTCTTCACCCTGTCCTTTTCTCTGCTACCCTGGGTTGATGTAAAAAAAAAAAAAAAAAAAGGCGTAGCAAAGGACACTGTTCAACGACACACTTTACATTCCTTTCAGATATTTATCCCAAATGTTTTTAGCTGTTATAAACTCGTTATTTCTATAGCTTGATATCAGGTTTTATGCATTTTGATGTGTTTATATCCATTTATTGCAAAAAATCAACCTTAGGGTTGCAGTTTTTTGATGAATTATTATAATTATATCAAATCTGGCTTGATGAATAGCATCGTTTGCCACCCCGTTCCAAATTTTAAAAAAAAGTTATGAAAGGCTACAAGTACATTAGCACGTACTGTCAACCAGCCGCTAACCCCTTGCAAAGAAATACTCAGGAACCTCTTAGCCCTACCAATCAGTGCCAAAGAATGGAAGATATAAAATACATGCTTTTTCAGTGGCGGATTTCGGGCGGATTTGGGGGGGGGATTTTAATTAGCTGAATCATAGTTCTAAACTATACCAAATGGCACCGTTCGCCTTCTAAAATACCAAACATTTTCGGGACCCTTCAGCGGGCCCCGAACCCCACCCCAATGGGAGGGAGGGGGGGGGGGAGGCATGGCATCTGCGGACCCCACCCCCCTTCAAATAATCCTGGATCCGCCCCTGTTTTTAATCGTTCACATAAAACAAGAAGTTGCAAAGACAACTTCTTGCATAAAACTACAACATTCACGAGCAGACGACTGGTTGCAAATGCGGTGTGGCCGTAGGGCAAGATAATGCTACTTAAATATGCTATTAAAATATCGCGCGTTCAAACCTAAAACGTCAGGTCCTAAAAACTACGTAGCAAAGGTAGTAGTAAAATTGTAAAAGAGTCCAAATCTCAGACCAAAAAAAAAAAAAAAAAAACTAATTAGGACGAAAGAACCTTTGAAATTTCTGAATTTCTGACTTGACTGAACCCAAATCACACTAGCGAATAAGAAAAAATTGAAAAAGATTTGATATCCTGCATGCAGCGATTGACTGTATAGGCCTAAGGCTTTGTATAGGTTTATTTTGTTGATATGATCAAACTTAAAGATCATAGCTATCATTTCGCTATAATTTCTTATGATTATCATAACCCTTTGTAATCAAGCCTCTTCCGCAATTTGCATTTAGTTTTTTTTTAATCAGTATTTTTTTATTTAGAATCTATACTTTGCTCCAAGTCCAATAAGGCTACATTCCTCCACACCTAATATTGATTTAAAAATTGTAATTTCATTTCCAGTGAAAGGTATTGTTTAAAAATATTAGTGCAACATGTTAAGATAATGATTTTTTTTATATTTACTGGATCTTATGTTTAAATTATGTTTCAGTATCTATAACTGGATGAATCAAAACTTTCACTTTGGTAATGTTACATGGTCCAATATTCCTTGCAGTATTCTGTTAAATACAAGATATCACCTTAACTAGCATAGTTTTAGCAGTCGTTTATGAAAATGACCTGACGTTTTAAATCGTGCTTTTCCCGTTAGATGTCACCCTGTCGCTTACTGATGACGTCAGTCAAGGAATTTCCCCATGTTTCTAAAACCGTCAGCGACTTGGGCAAAATGTGCGAACCATGCGTTGTACTGTTAATGGGGCAATGACAGTGTTGCAATTTATGTGGGATGTGTAAAATTTAATTCGACTTTGTTTTCCAGGTTGACTGTACTGACTTGCCACGTAACACTTTAAATTTCTTGCCAGGAAACGATGCCTGCTACCATTGCGACAATGACGCAAATCAATCATTTGCATACCTTTTGCCGCTTGCAAAGTGCGAGATCCTTCCGAGAAAGTGCATAAAGTAATCCCAATTAAATATTATACTCTCGTTAACCAATAAGTCCAGGGTCATTTTCTGTCTTATTGCAGAATACTTGTTTCGTATACCATTTGCCGAAGCAATTTCACTGCAAATATGTCCAAAAAACTCGTCACATGCGGATGGATATCGCTTACTCAGCGCGATAAGAACCACCATCATCGTGTTTTCCGTCCCAAAAATAGCTCAACTTGGTGGATATTTAGAAGGTAGATTCTACTGGAGGGTAAAAATAGTAACCGTAGAGTTATTTTTACATCTTCAGTCTATGTTTATGGTAGGAAATTTAAAGTAAGTGTTTTGTAAATATGATGTTTTGGTGTTAAGATTGGATAGTGGATAAGAAAAAGCAAGGGTGGGGCGAAGATGATGGAGGAAGAAAGACCAAATTTGCAAGGAAGAGGGTCGAGGAATTCAAGATGTCGGGGAAAGACTTAACCGCAAGTTACAAAGTACGTTTAATTCTTATTTTAACTTGTGTCATGTCGCCTTTTCGTTACAGCAGCAAACATCTTAACCAAGACTGTTGAAAGAGATTGGCGTAGTGGCTTGATCAACCCGATTTATCTTTGAATTGAACCATCTGCCAGAAGGAAACTGCTGCACCCATCTTGAGGTTCGAGAGGAAAAGGCTCGTGCACTGGGTGGAACAGAAATAGGTAACTTTCAAGGAATCCCGTTGCTATGTAAAAAGCATTTTAGATGAGCACTTTTTCCTCTTTTAATTTACGTTAGCAGTTTCCAGTTATGCACAATTGTTTGAACCATTTGACTTTTTAACTAGTAAATTAATGTGTAAAAATATGATGTGGAGTTTTACCACTATTCGGTGGCTATTTTATACCTACTCCAGTCGGTTGTTTCATTTAACAATGGAATGATTTATTATAATTTTTGTTCTGATTGTATGTATCTTTGGGAAATGCAGTTTAATCTCCCGATTTAATTTGTGCTAAGTGAAACACATTGCATAATATTGTATAATATGCAGTATCCCCCCCCCCAAAAAAAAAAAATAATAAATAAATAAATAAATAAATAAATAACAAGTTTGGTTTGCAGTGTTTTTCTAAATTCGGTCATTTGGTGACTGATCATTGTCTGTCTTGAATTATATTAGTTTGACACCTTTCTTAATGGTTTTTGGATCTTTTTACAAGCGTATTCAAATATAATGAGAGCTGCAGTCATTTTAGGGGTGCAAAACTAATTTGAATAGAAGAGATATTGATCAAAATCAGTGCATAACTGAATTTAGAAAAACATTTAAAGAATAAAAAACTTGAGTCCTTTTGACTTTGAATGGTACAGTTTTGTGTACTGCACCAGTTTGAGAGATTGAGAACAACATATCCTGGCTATTAGAGAGTTATCTCAACAAGGCTCCCATATTCAGTACTGTCAGTTAACCAGATTATTTTTGAGTGTTGTGAAAGGGAATAAAATTTCCCCTAGTGTACTTACATTTTGGAGCCAGTCAAACTGGTGCAATACAGAAAACTTCTGCTTGATGTGAATAGGGCCAAAGATTTCACTTTGGATGGCATTATAAGTACCTATCAAATGCTATTTTGTAAAATAAAGAATTCCACATTTTGTATGTCTTATTGATTTTTAAGTTACAAAAAACAGATAAAGAATCAGTTCTGCTAATAAATTTATTATATCAGTTTCATGCAGGATGTACATTTATTTATATGTATTTAATTTTTATATTTTTTTAAAGAAAATAGATAAAGGTAAAATGAAATGGTGCTATCAATGTATGGAACATAACTGTTCAAAGAGCCATGAGGGAGCAAGGTGCAGATTTGTGGCCCAATATATTTGGGAAAAAGCTTGAAATTATTTGAGAAAGAGTTTGAAAGCTTGCACTTAAAGGTATACTCCTTGGGTTTGTAAATCCCCCAAATACTTATTTTTGCCATCAACTGCTTCTTATAAAGTTCCAGTTTGCACTACTTAATTACTCAGCTCAAAAAATTCTTTTTCAAGTGAATTTTTTAAATCTTAGCTCATTTTATGTGTTAAGTTTTACACTTGACTATCGTCAGAAATGAGTGTGCACAATTTATTCCCTGGGCATGCACCCTTTAATATACTTGACTAACTTCTACTTTTTAGGTGGACATTGCCTCATTGAATGGTGTTACCTCATTGTAAGGCCTTAAAATGTCGATGAATGTCACATTTTGTAAATGCAACTTTGACATATTTATTTTTACTTATTGAGCTCGTTTTTAGTGTTGAAATTGATGTTACTGATTGTGTTAGTTGTTTCTCCATTGGATGGTTTGAATACAGTGTGCGAAAGTAGCATTACGCCATAGATTTAAGTCACACATACAGAGTTGAGTATTGTGAAATACAGTGATACATTATGTACTCTGCAGTGCAGTTTGACTGCCACCCACACCTTAGTGCCACATTAGATCTACACCTGTACTAAGTCCAAAGAATAATTAATAAAACAAGAGCAAGTACAAACCTTGCTAATAATGTTGATTTGCTCAACATTAAGAACACACTACAATATTTGAAGATCTTATTCATTTATCTAGATCGAGGTTGTGGGGTAAATATAACTTAAGCTTAAACATTTTAAAATGAGTTCATGTCTTCCTCCTTGCTAGCTTGGAGTTTGGGAAGATTTCCCGTGCCCCCTCCCCCCTCCACCCCTGGTTATTCATATGCTAGTATTTTAGTTATGAGATATTAAACTTTCACTATTAGAAAGGTATGTTATAATCACAGAATGTAAATGCAATTTTTATTTTCTTATATCTACAGACTGAGTATGTTTGTCATTGAGTAAGAGATAGGTTTGTTTATGTAGAGTGTTTGATATTTTGAAAGTCAAATCTTTTTGTGTATAATTTCCTGCTAAATCCGCTTTAAAACCAGTTAATGTGCTACATTAATTTAGGGTTAAAATAATCACTTTAATTCATACTGAAACCTTTTAGTTGGAGAAAATCCTGATCAGGAAATTGTCACAGCATATTATTCTTTCTAAAAAGAAAACAGTTCATAGGCTTTTTTTTATATACATCTAAATTTAATTTATCATGAAGCACTTGCAGACAATCAATCATAGATTAATTTTGTCATCTTTGACCTTTTATGCTTTTCAAGAAGTGGATTGCAGTTTTTTTTTAACTTAAATATTGTGATTATTCATTTATGAATTTTAGGTTGAGACATTCTTGTGATAAATAACTATTTTTGACCTGTTTACAAGAAAATGTATGTAAAAGGCACAGGTTTTTGAAAGATCATTTTCCAAACCTTTTTCAGGTTGCAGAAGAATTATAGTTATCATTACATACTAGTAACTGTATTGAAAATTGCATGGAATTCTAATATAAAACTGTTAGTATCAATGTAGTACCTGACAATACCTTTTGAAAATGTAATATCTGCCTGTTGAAATATGAGAAATATCAGTGTTAGAAATTAATGCTGGACCGTCTGCCTGAGGCAGACAACTTTCAGAAAAGGCTGACATACCTGGCAGACATTCGGGCCAGCTACTTTTCAAGATGGCTGAACTTTCGGTCCAGCAACTAATTTTCCTAAGAGGAAACACTGAGAAATATGTTTATTTATATATGCTAAGAAGACCTGATTTATACAATGAAGTCATGGCCATGGGTCAAAGATATTTTGCTAATTTGATTTATTTCATCAGTATCTCAGCATTGTACACAAACTTATTGTCAACATTTGCAAGAAACAATGGTAATGTGACATATTGTAAGTTTTAGACCTTAGATTTGTATGTTGAAGAAAGGTTGAATGCTTTTCGTTTCCATATATTTATATTTATGTGTACTTGTTTTGGTAATATCCATTCATTGAATGTCACAATATAAGTAACACCAAAACACTTAAAAAATAAAGAGCAAACACAGTATATTACTTTATTTGAATCTAAGTTATGAATGTTGATTCAGGTGGCTGATGAACTTAAATAATAATAAAAAAAATTAAATAATGTCTACTTAAAAAGTTGAAGAAAATCTGAAAGAGAAAAAGCAAAGACACTTTCCAATATATATTTTTTAAAAAAAAAGCAAGTCTATTGTAAATGAGAAATTTGTCTTTCTACGTTTTCCCATTGATGGGATGCCTGCAGGTGCCCCAGTTTATTAATTACAGGCAGATTGATACCATTGGGAATATCTAATCTAGTTGTGATGCTGCCAGCAACCAAGTGCCCATTCATCGTCAACCATGGCATGAACACCATGAATCATTTCTTTGCATGTTTTCTTGTACAGATCGCATTGTAATGGGGTAGATCATTGCTGTAGCTGGTAATAAAAACATACGATGTTGTCATCATTTTGTGTATGATGCATATTTAATTCTTGTATCCCATGCCTCTTAACTTTTACTGAAGCACATATACATTTTGAATTGGCCAAATTAAAAGGCACACAGGGGTCATGTTGAGAGAGGCAGAGATAATGAGTGACAATTAATCATTATTTTTTAAGGAAAAAAAAATAGAAATAGAAGAGGCGTTTCTTGCACAAGAAGCCCACACACTAATTCCATTGCATACTTGTAAGCAGGCCCTGAAAAGTGAGACATTTCTATGTATAAGAGCTTGGTGTAGTGTCAACTATTTTGTACCATGCTTATGTCAGCACAGTGAACTGATTGCCACATGTACTTGATTCCTTACTAGAAGAACACTTTGGTGTATCAGTATTTGTCACTTAAATTTATAATATCTCATAGTTTTTTTGTAAGTAGAGGCATAAAATACAAACCTCAGTATGACTTGTCAATGGGTATATGTTGAACTTTGTTGAAGGACAATACTTTATCTATTATTCTAACTTAATGATAATCCTTATTGCTGTGGACTGGTTAAAGTGACACTCAAGATCTACATCAGCATGCAAACAAAGTAATGTTTTGTTATAAGAGTTTTAGGTGTCATGTTTTGGGTAGGTGATAGCCAGTATTAAATATTGTCTTATTACCATTTCATCAATACACTATATATGACACAGACGTTCATGATACTAGGAAAGGTGACATTAGTTTCTTAAGGTCATTCAAGTTTTTAAAATGCCATTTCATCGTGTATCATGGATTATAATTTTTGAGTTACTTAAAAAATTGCACATGTGTATCAATTTTTTTTTTACTTAACAAAACTGCCTGATATCTTAATTCTGTCCAGTCTTTTTTTGTATTCTCACATGCCTCAGATTTTTGCCTCAATGCTCACTTTGTTATGCAGATGTGTAACATTCTTAGTAGTGAAAGAAGGGTTAAAACAGGTTATGTGTTGAGAAATACTTCATGTAAACGGAGTATGCCTCCTTTTCCATGTTAGCATACCCAGGACTGAATTTGTTAGTGCTAACATCCATGCCATCAGATGGGTTGTACTGTTACATGTGATTAGATTTTACAAGATAGACAGAAGTTAGACTTTCATTTAAAACGTCTGCGTTGAGTTTGCAGAGTTGGTAAATGTGGGGATTATCTATGGATTTTGCTAGGGTGTGGGCCACTTTCCTGTGATAAGGCATAATGAAGAAAAGCTTTTTATCTCCTGTAATTGATTTTGGTTAAACATATAAAGGGATAGTTCCAAACTGATAGAGAGTTTGTCAGAAATCATTCCAGTAATCAC